AGGGTATAAGTTAGGTACAGTGGTGTGGGGCTGAGGTGGGTACACAGAGTATGGGGCTGAGGTGGGTACAGAGGTATAGGGGTGAGGAGGTTACAGGGTTGGATAAGTGCTGAGGTGGGTACAGGGGGGAATTGGGTGAGATGGGTACAGGGGTAATAGGGCTGAGGTTCAGGGTTGGGTGGGTGCTAAGGTGGGTGTAGGGGAGCTGTAAAAAATATTTACAAGAAGCTTACCTGAAGTCCCGCAGCCCCGCCTCTTCCCCTCAATCACTGCACCGTATGGAAGAGACCTGGCAGGAAGAGCAGGATCAGCAGAATTGCTGCTAGGTCTCACTAAGAAAGGGGTGGGGGGCACTTACAAGGAGATAGGTTGCAGGGGGCCCACAATCTATTGATGTAATATGGGTGTGTAATTATGGCTTTCCCCTTGGGGAGATCTCTGATCTCCACAGCAAAAGCATGGGTGTACAAGCAGGCCCCTGACTTCCTTGTGTGGTTAGTCTGCCCCAGAACAATATTTATAGGCAAAGTGATTATGACAAATGTTTACATCTGATGCTGCTCTAGATGTTAAATGTTACCTCCTGGTATAACAGATGAATGACGCCATATGCCACAAAAGTATCCTCACCTTCTATGTAATCTGATATTTAAAGACGAAAACAGCCACTGCTGCATTAAAGGGTTACTCCAACTACTATGACCACTTCACATACAGAGCACCCTCACTCACACACACATACTGCACACCTCACCCTCACACACACTAAACACCTCACACACAGCACCCTCACAAACAGCACCCTCATTCACACAGCATCCTCACACACAGATTGCACACCTCACACACACTGCACAACTCACACACAGCATCCTCACACTGCACATCTCACACACACATATTGCACCCACACACAAGCAGCATCCTCACACACACACTGCACCCCTCACACACACACACACACACTTCTCACAAATACACACTACACCCGTCACACATACACACTACACCCTTCACACACACACACTGCACACCTCACACACATAGCACAGTCACACATGGCTCCCTCACTCACACACACATCACCCTCACTCACACACATATAATTGCATCTACGAATTTGTTATTATTTTCCCATCCTATACATATATCACACACCTTACTTGCGACCCAATATGGCGGACTTTACAATTATGGTTAAGTTATGCTAATCATGTTTGGGCTTGTTTAGAAGATGGCGCTTGTCACATTCCAAATATAACAAAAATGAGGCTTGATTATCCATTCATAGGATAAGACCCATTTCACATTCCTATGCAATTTACATTACCCCTTCTGTCATCTGACCTTTCATATAATCAAATTAACCCCTTTGGACCTTGACAATATTCCATCTCTACCAGGCAAGCAGATTATCTATGCACTACACAAATTACATTAAAGGACAATATTCCATAGTGCAATAATGAGTTATGCACCCTTGTCGTGACAAGTACCGTCAAGGACAGAGGTCAGCAATCTATGGCACATATGCCATGCATGGCACTCAAGGTGCTTTTGCATGGCACTCAAGGCTGCCAGAGACAAACTAGGTCTGGCCTTTCAGGAGTCCCAGTGGGACTTCAGATATCTGCTAGTGCAAACCGAGCGGTGCTTTAGGTGTTGAGGGACAATCTTCAGTGTACACATTACATCAGTTAGAGGAAGTGATCTCAGATTATTTCTTCCTCACATTTGTGAATGGGAATCCACACGGCAGTAGAGAAGCCTGCAGCACCTATAGCAGCTCCTGCCCTTGACCTGTACCTGGCCAGCTTGGTCTCCAATGGACCACAGGAAGTTACCCACACTCCTAGATATACATAGACCTGCAGAAGAAGCCTCCCCCTTATACAAATAATATAAACAGTCCACACACATTCCGCTCAAACATAACACCACTGACAATCCACATACACACACAGCCCCACCAAACACACAAAGTGAAACATCATCCAGACACACAATTTCACAATCAGCCCCCATAACAGCCCACATTAATAGGTATCATACACAATACCACAAACTACTCATGAACATATACAATATAATAGCCCACATATGCACAAATACATTACTTCAAAGCAACTGCAGCAGCCATAGATAACAAAAGGAGAATACGGCAACATACACTCCTTGATATTAAAAAAAAGGACCGGCACGCCAAGGGACTTTAAGATTTCATTTTGGCACAATACTACTAAAATGTTGCCTAACCCTGGTCTAGGAAAAGTAGGTTCTGGCAGACATCTTGTGTGCTGTGACTGTAAGACCTTGACGAGACAGCAATGAGCCTATCGTGTTACCTGGGAATAATGTAATAAAGTTACCAGATAGATTGGAGCAGTGAGGGACAATTGCATTGTGTGGAGGACCCTCTGCAGGGAGAGTAAATAATGTTCTGTTTAAATAGCTGTGTTGTGTGCAATAAAGGTAATTCTACCCTCTACATTCAAACTCGTATAATGTGTGGGGGAAAGTAAAGCTATATTTACTGCTCTACAGGAGAGAGGGTCTCCAGAGCTATATTTACTGCAGCCTGGACCGGTGGAAGAGGTCCTCAGAGACCCCAGTCAAGCTTTGGCAACTGGGTCTGAAGTGCACCAGGATCCCTGGTAGCAGAGAGGAAGCTGACCTGGTGGAGGTACTCAGTTGAAGTACAGAAGCTCTGTCACAATAGCAACTATTTTAAAAAAAAATATTGTATAATTAAAATACTTCTAATCTTAAAAAAGGGAACACAAACTGTCCAGTTATTGACATATGCTGAAAGAAAATAATCTCTTGCTAAACTACTAACCACAAAAAGGAACCACATTTCATAAGTATAATGCCCAGGTACTAAAAAAGTGATATAAAAATGAGCTAATTGTTGCACAATTGCAGGAAATTGCCTTTACTAAAATATACTTAAAGGAACACTACAATGCACAAATTCAATAAATAAGTAAATATCCCCCAAATTAACACATGCACCCATTCAATTGTTTCATAGAGGGTATATATAAGCTGCTTGCAAAATCTGTAGAGCCTTTGTCTGATATCTGCAAGCTCTCTGTTTCTTCCCCAGCCCAAATGTTTTAGGGGTGTCCAATCATAGTCTTTCCAATGCAGCTTAATGAGAAGTCTTTGCAAAGTTGTTTTTTTAGTTAGGTTCCACTGAGCTAAAGAGCCAGGAAGTAACAGGACCAGTTGTCTGATTGACAGCCAGGAGGGTGTAACAAGGTTAATTTATCAAATCTGCACTTTTTGTAAAATGTAAAAAAAAGAGGACATACTCTTCACACATAAAATATAATATTTCAACAGGCTCACGTGCTTTATGATCTGGAGTGTCCCCTTAAGCACAGTACTTATTTTCACACGTAACCTGTATTAAAAACTAGAAAAGCAAGCAAACCCATTTTATAATGGCAATACAATATAACCACTGGAGCACAGAATCTTTGTTTGATTTTTAAATTACATTTATGTGTCATAAAACTGACTATAAATAGAGCACTACCTATTAGATGTGCAAAAATTGGTTATACAATTGGTTATACAATATTATACAATCACAGACCCACACACATACAATTACAAACACACATAATTATTATTATTTTTTTTAAGATTCTTTATTTATGGGTTTTTCAGTTAAACATTCGTACAGAAAGGAAGAATGTTAGGTTGAAAAAAGGTTGTAACATCAAAGAGTAACATTCAATTGAACATAAGTTAACTTGGTACATGCGTTATACATTGGGTCATGTTGGCGTCATTAAGGGTGTTTGGTCTGGTCTGTGGTAGGGTGTTCTCTGATATTGAGAGAGTTATGTCCGGTCGTTCTCCCCCTTTCGAATAGTGTGGTTCTATCTTTGGAGATGGGTTAAGGGGGAGAGTTGGTGTCAGGCCAGTGTTGGATTCCAATGTGTGAGGTGGAATTGCTGTGGGGGGGGGGTGTGTAACCTGGAGGCAGGTCAGTAGTCTTTAGTGGGGAGCCTCGGTGGGGGTTCTCCTTAGGTGTGGTGGGGGGAGTGTTAGGGGTATGTTGCCGCTCGCCCGTAGCTTTCCGCATCCAGTATGGGGGGGCTGGGAGAGGGTTGACGTGGTGTCTGTGGGGTCCACGTGTTTGGCAGCATGGTGTGTGTTTTTGAGGGCAGAGTTGGTTTACCAGGGGGGGATGGTGTCTGCATCGATCCATGGGTCCCATATTTTGTGGAACGACTTTGGGGTGTCATGTATTTGTGCAGTCAGGTTGTCCATGTCAGTGCTGTCAGTTACTTTGGCGTGGATGTGGGATTGGGTTGGTATGTGAGGGGTGGACCAGACTTCTGCTATGGCTCTGCGTGTGGCTAGGGCCACTCTTGCTATCAGTTTATTTTCGTTTCGAGTGAACTGGTCGATAGGTTTAGAGAGAAGTAGAGCCCAGGGATCCATGGGGACCGGTCTGGAGAGTATGCATGTTAATAATTTTGTGACGCTTTGCCAGAGGGGTTTTAGTTTCGGGCATGTCCACCAGCAGTGGAGGAATGTGCCCGTTTCCCCACACAGTTTCCAGCAGTTGCCATTGGGGATTTGTTTCATTGTTGCAAGTCGAGTTGGGGTGAGATACCATCTGAACAGCATCTTATATGCTTGTTCTTGGTGGGTCACGCATATGGAGATTGATTTGTTGGCTGCCCAGATGTCTGTCCAGTCTGTGGGGTCGTCGGGGGGGCCCAGGTCTTTCTCCCAGGCTGTTATATATGGTAGGGAGATTTGGGTGTAGTGTGTGGTGAGGGTCAGGTATAGTTCGGATATCTGGCTCTTGCATAACGGGGAGCGTATGCTGTCGCGTTCAAAGTCGGTGAGGGGGGATGTGGCTGCTAAGCGTACAGCATCGGATGCAGCGAAGCTGCGGAGTTGAAGGAACCTGAAGTGGTCAAATGTTGTCATGGTGGAGGTGTGGGGGATGTCTGTGTATTGGATAAGTTTACCGTTTGGGTATAGGTGGCCAAGTCGGGCGATATCTCTGTCTTCGAAGTGGGCATAGTGCTGTGGTGTAAGTCCTGGGGGGAACATACGGTTGCGTAGAATGGGAGTAAGGGGTGAGAGGCCGGAGGAGAGGTCAAATTTGTCACTAAGGCGGTCCCAAAGGTCTATGGAATAGGTAATTGCAGGGGAAGTTGGGGGGGGCAGTGGTCTTTGCTGTTTCGGTAGCCATATGTATAGGGAGGGGTGGTCTCGACCGAATATGAGGTGTTCTAAGTCAACCCAGCGTTTATGGTCGGGAGGGAGGTGCCAGTGTTGAATTTGTGCCAGGTGGGCTGCGTGTTGGTAATACAGTAGGTTGGGGAGGCCTAAGCCGCCTACGTGTTTAGGGACATATAGTGTCGATCGGCGCACTCTTGGCTTGCGATCATTCCAGATGAAGCGGTCTATGGCGGTTTGTAAGGTTCTTAGGTCTGTCTTGTTGCAGGGGATGGGTAGGGCTTGGAAGGCATAAAGAAATTTAGGGAGGAGATTCATTTTTACTGAGGCTATTCTTCCTAGCCAGGAGATGGTCATGGGTTTCCAGCGTTGGAGGTCGGCGTGTGCTTTGCGGTATAGGGGGGTGTAGTTGGCGTTGTACAGGGAGGCTACATCCGCAGTGAGCTGAATTCCCAGGTAGGTGATTGTTGTGGGGCAGATGCGGAAGGGGAATTTTTGTTTCAGGGATGTTAGGGTGGGTGCTGGGATGTTGAGGGGTAGAAGGTCTGATTTGGAGGCGTTGAGCTTGTAACCCGAGATCATGGAGTATTCCTTGATGAGTGTTAGTGTAGCATTGAGGGAGTGTTCGGGATTCGTCAGGGTGAGGAGTATGTCGTCCGCATATGCCACGACAGTGAACGTTTCATTACGGGCAGTGAGTCCCGTGATATCTGGCCGAGTTCGTATGGATTCGAGGAGGGGTTCGAGGGATAAGGCAAAGAGTAGGGGGGAGAGAGGGCATCCTTGTCGGGTGCCATTGAGGATGGGGAAGGAGGGGGGGTTGATGTTGGGTATCAAAAGTTGGGCAGTTGGGTTGTGGTACATCGCTTGTATAAACTGGGTGAGTTCCTGTGGGAAGCCGAATTTATGAAGGGTTGTGTAGAGGAAGGGCCACAGTAGGCGGTCAAATGCCTTCTCGGCGTCTAGGGAGACGAAGATCGTGGGAATTTGTCTATGGTTGGCCAGCCATGTTAGGTCTATTGTTCGTCTGGTGTTGTCCTGGGCTTGTCTGTTCGGTATGAAGCCCACCTGGTCTGGTTTTATTAGTTTCCCTAGAAAGACGTTTAGTCTGGTAGTCATGACTTTGGTCATGATTTTCAAGTCTACATTTAGTAGGGAAATGGGGCGGTAGTGGCCCGGGTCCTCATGGGATTTACCGGGTTTCGGGATTAGGGAGATGTTGGTTCTAGTCATGTCAGGCGGTAGTGAGTCTCCTTTGAGCATGGCATTAAAGACTAAGCAAAGTTTGGGGACCAGTAGGTCTCCGAAGGTTTTGTAGTAGATAGCCGTCAGGCCCTCTGGGCCTGGGCTTTTGTTGGGCTTTAAGGTTTTGATTGCTGCAAGGAGCTCTTCAGGAGTGGCCTCTGCAGAGATCATCGATCTTGCATCCTCCTTGAGGGAGGGCAAGGTGAGTCTGTTTAGGAAGTCTTCCGTCAGGGAGTTGGTCTGTTCTAATGGAGGGTTCGGGGTGTGATTATACAGGGAGGTGAAGTATTGTTGGAATACTTCTCCAATTTTGTGTGGGTTATCGCTCATGGAGCCATCAGGGGTTCGAATGCGGGAGATACGCTTTGTTTCTGTGAGTGTTTTGAGACGTTTGGCCAGCATGGAGTCTGCTTTATTATCCTTTTCATAGAATTTTTGTTTGGTCCAGGCTAGCGCCTTGGTTGTCGCTGACAGGGATAGTCTCTTAAGCAGGGTTCGGGCTGCCGTGAGTTGTTCTAGGAGAGTGGGGGTAGGGTTGGCTTTATGGTGGGCTTCAAGTCGGCTCAGGTTGGCCATGGTGTCCATGATTTGTCTGGTGGCTTGTCTTTTGCGTGCCGCTGCTATGGCAATCATTTTGCCTCTTATAACCGTTTTATGGGCAGCCCAGGACGTGATCCGGGAGGGGACTGATGGGTCGTTTAGGGAAAAGTATTCTGTTATGTCTTTTGCTAGGGAGGTTGTCACAAGTGTGTCATGGAGTAGTTGTGGATTAAGTGTCCAGGTCCATGGCCTGGTCATGTTGGGGATTGTGAGGGTGAGGGATATGTCGGCGTGGTCCGACCAGGTAATGTTGCCAATGGAGGAGTGTGTTGCTCTGTGTATGAGGTTGGGGGATATGAGGAAGTAGTCAATGCGGGAGTATGTATTGTGGGGATGCGAGTAGAAGGTGTAGTCTTTTACAGAGGGGTGTTGTGCCCTCCAGACGTCCAGAAGGTTTTGCGTGTTGAGGAATTGGGAGAACAGCGTATCGTTGGTGGAAGGGCGGTGTCCGCCTGTTGGTCTAGTTGTGCGGTCTAGAGTTGGTGTGTGGGTAGCGTTACAGTCTCCGCCGATGATGCTATAAGTTGTCGGGTGAGATGCTAGGTGTGTGGAGATTGTAGTCCAAAATTGGTGGTCTGCTGTTGTGGGGGCGTATAGTGATGTAAAGGCGTAGGAGGCGGGGCCAATTTTCCCTGTAATTGTTATGTACCTGCCCTGTGAGTCCGGGTATGCTTGCAGGTCGGTGAGGGGGCAGGAAGATTTAAGAAGAATGGCCACTCCTTTTGTTTTGGTGGCCGGGGAATTCGCTAAGAAGGAGCGAGTATAGTGTCGGTTTCTTAGTGGAAACTGTTTAGCGGTGGAAAAGTGGGTTTCCTGGATGAGGAGGATGTCAGCTTTTTGAGTGTGGGCCCATTGGAGAAGGGAGTGTCTTTTTTTGGGGTTGTTGAGGCCCTTGGCATTGATAGAGACGCAGTGTAGTCTGAGTGGCATGTCAGGGGGTTGAGGGGAGGTCTGCTGGTCTCAGTGGGCCCGGGCGAGCGGCAGGGAGTGGGAAAGTGGTAGTAAGGGGGGGGTGGTCGTTGGGCTTATCTCTAGAGCCAACGAGGGGGGAACAATAATGTCTGCAGCCTCTCGGATCTTGGGGCCGGGAGACTGGTGACAAGGTTCGAGTGAGATGGGGGCGGAGGTCGACTAGTAGAGAGGAGGCGGCAGGTCTGTGAGTCTTAGGCGGCAATTGTTGCAATGGGTAGGGTGTTTACCTTGGTGGGTCATGGAGGGGGTGTCCGGGGGGGGGATGTCTCTGGGCTCCATGTAGGGTGTCGTTCACCTGGAAACGTCAGGACAGTGTTGCAATAGGGCTTCAGTGTGTTAATATGAGTCACATTTCGATTGGTGTCAAGGCAGTATCGTTATGCAACATCGGCACATCACAGTACAATGCAACGGCCGCGGTCGTGCCGTCAGGGCTCCCCATCCCCCCTCCCCCTCCAGGAGGTAGGGGGAGGGGGCGCCCCAAGGGCCCCCGCAGTGCGATCAATCGGGCCTCCCCCGATGAGTGCCGAGGCAGTGAAGGAGGGAGGCCTCAGTGCCGTAGGGTGCAATACATTTTGACTTACAGCAGGGCAATGAGGCTATAGAGCAATAGCATTACAAAGCACAGGGAAGCCGCCACGGCTGAGTGATCAGGGCTCCCCGTCCCCCGAGCCCGAAGGCGGGGGAGAGGGGGCGCCCCAAGGCCAGCCACAGCGTAAAGGTGACGTCAGGACAGTGTGGCAGCAGGGCCTCGGTGTGTTAATACGAGTCATATTTCAATGGGTGTCAAGGCAATATTGCCACGTAACATTGGCACATCACAGTACAATGCAACAGCCGCGGTCATGCCGTCAGGGCTCCCCGTCCCCCCCTCCAGGAGGTGGGGGGAGGGGGCGCCCCAAGGGCCCCCGCAGTGCGGTCAAGAGGGCGGCATCCCTCGATGAGTGCCGAGGCAGCGAAGGAGGGAGGCCTCAGTGCCATAGGGTGCAATACATTTTGACTAACGGCAGGGCAATAAGGCTATAGAGCAATAGTATAACAGAGCACGAGGAAGCCGCCATGGCTGAGCGACCAGGGCCCCCCGTCCCCCGAGCCCGAAGGCGAGGGAGAGGGGGCGCCCCATGGCCAGCCGCAGCGTAAAGGTGGATGCTGTGCACCCCAGTGAGCGTCAAGACCGTATGGCAAGAAGGCATCAGTACAATATAGTGTGACACATTGCGAGAAGTGTCCGGGCAGTGAGCTGCGGGGTCTTCCCGTGCCCGGACATCGCCACCGCCACGCCATCAGGGCCTCCCGTCCCCCGCACCGAGAGGCGGAGGGGAGGGGGTGCCCCGAGAGCTACCGCGGGGCGACCAAGCAGGCGCTACGTCTCGGGTGTTGCCGTGTCACCCGGGGGGAGGGCATCGGTACAGCGAGGTGTCGCATGTCCCAGCAGGCGTCCAGGCAATAGAGCCACGGAGTATCGACTTAGTTGGTCGCACCGCCGTGGCCGCGCAGACAGGGTCCCCACGCCAACAGGCAGGAGGGGTGTCCTGAGGGTGACCCCGGCGCCGCGCCCAATGCAGTGCATGTCAGCTGGTAGTGCGAAAGCGTAGCAATGGGGTATCAGTATATCGGGGGGTGGTGTGGCTACCGGTGGGTATTCGGATAGTAAGTCACTAAGATTTGTGTGTCTCGTGGTGAGGCACGGCTGTGTGCCTCCCGCTGGCCCAGTGCGGGATGACCCCTCTAGGGCAGTCCTCAGTTTGCACCGCCGGGTTCTATATGCGCGTTGGGGTAGGGATATATCAAACAGTTATAGAATACGTTACATGGTTGGTGTCGTGTTGGACTTGCAGCTGCGAAGTCGCAGAGGGTTGGTAGATGGTGCGTGTTGGGGAGAGAGTCTTGGGACCCGGTGTGCAAAGTAGCGGTTGCGTCCTAAACGCGGATATCCTTCCGAGGCAATCGGGTTGTCGGGGGCCATGTCTGCACCGGGGCAGCAGGAATCTGCGACAGCGGCGCCCTGGGTAGTTGCAAGGGAAGCATCAGTTAATCATGTGGAGTGTGTGGTTGGGTAGGCCGCTGTCTCCTAGAGTATCTGCGGTCGCCCGTGCGCTGGGGTTCCCACGAACCGTGCTGGGGTGCGGTGGTCTGGGAGCTGGCAGGTAGGTTTAGCTGCAGGTCATTCAGGCCCAGTTGGGAGGCGAGAGTCTGCGCTTCTGATGGCCTGGTTAGGGTAAAGGTTTGGTTGTCATGTCGGACCATGAGTTTAAACGGGTGGCCCCAGGAGTACCGTATCCTTCTCTGTTGTAAGGCTTGGGTCAATGGCCGTAGCTCTCGTCGTTTGCGGAGAGTTGTGGGCGCCAGGTCTTGGTACAGTTGCACCGTGTGGCCTTCGATTTGGAGGGGGGTTTCCCTTACTGCTCTCATGATTGCTTCTTTTGTGTGGAAGTAGTGGCATCGCAGTATTATGTCTCTGGGCTGTGTGGGGTTTGCGGCTGGGGGGCGGAGGGCCCGGTGTGCCCTGTCCAGGAGCAGGTCAGTCGGCGGTGCGTCTGGGAGCAAACTGCTAAAGGCTTCGTGCAGCATGGCAGCTAGGGTGTCCTGTGTGTAAGTTTCAGGGAGACCCCTTATTCGGATGTTATTTCGTCTGGATCTATTATTGAGGTCCTCCTGTGCCTCTTCTAGGAGGGTTATCTGTTCTCTGAGGTCTTTGAGGGCAGCATCATGGTCGTTTGTGGTGGTGAGCACCTCTTCCAGTCTGTCCTCTACCTCGTGGGTGCGCCGGGTGAGGTCTGCCAGGCCCTCCTTAATGGGGGCCAGGTGCTTTGTGAGTTCTGCAGCCACCAGGGATTTCATGTCGTGGAGCAGGGTTCTGAGGTCTTGTTTAGTGAGGGGGGAGGATTCAGCTTTGTGGCTGCGTGTACTGTCCTCGGATTCAGAGTCTGGGGCCTGCTGGTCCTCTGCATGCGGCTGCTCTTTGTCCGGCCGGGTCCGGAATATCGGTGCGACGGCCGTGCCGGACTTTGTTTTTCGTCCTCCTCCCATGGTGTTGGGGGGTTGTGGGGTGTCTACCCGTGTTAGCAGCCCTGTAGTGGCTCTGGTGCCGCTGTTGGTGGCTGTTAAGCTGCCTGCCGTCTCAGAGCCTCTCTAGTGCGCGGCCATCTTGGTCGGCAGTCAAGCCCCGCCTACCACACATAATTATATATACACACGCAAACATCACATACATACACACGTGTGTGTGTATATATATATATATATATATATATATATACCCCATCACCTAGTGAAAAGTTTTAGTGCCCCCCCCCCCAGTTTGGATTGTGGTATCTTATGTGTCCACCCCCTATAAATTGTTCCTATGTGTCTATGTATCTGCATGTGTGTCAGTGTGTATTTAAGTGTGTGTATATGTGCATATTTCGCCAACACTACACACAACTACACCCCAGCATTTCAACGTCAACACTACATACAAACTCCACCATTATATATAACCACACCACTTCCTTCAAAAACCACACTACATAAAAATGCATGCCTACATTTAAACGCCAACACCACATACAGACACACATCCTACATTCACTCAAACATACTCCATACAAAAACATGCTTACATTTAAAAGCATAAACACTGCTTAGTGCTAAATAAAAAATTTTTTAAAAACAATTGTGGTTGTTTTTTACATTTTAAAGTTGGGGGGTTGGGGGTGGGAGGGGGGTGGGGAAATAGGACCCGCCCCAGGTGCCAAATGCTCTAGGTACGCCCCTGCTTATATGCTGTGTGTGTACATTGTACACGCTTTCTCTGTTCCGTACCCCTATATTTTTATATGTTTTTATTGCAAAACAATAAAACTTGAATTAAACAAACAAAAAAAGTAACATTAAAGCAACGAATTTGCTTAATATCTTTTAAATATCCCTTAACCCCTTAAGGACCAAACTTCTGGAATAAAAGGGAATCATGACATGTCACACATGTCATGTATCCTTAACCCCTTAAGGACGGGTGACGGACGAGGTCCGTCACAGAGGGGAGACCCTTAATGACGAGTGACGGACCTCGTCCGTCACGCGGTAAAATTAACCCCGGATCGCCGCTATTGCGGCGATCGCGGGGTTAATGGTGCTCCGGTCTGCCTCTGTATTAGAGGCAGACCGGGAGCACCCGGTCAGGCTGCCCAGCACATGTGCAAGCTCTGACCGCAAGTCGGAGCGAGCACATGTGCTCTGCATACTTACCTACTGGCTCCCTGCACTTCCGGGTTCTGTGTGAAGTGCAGGGAGCCGGAACAGTGCTCATCCTGCCCCCTGTAGGAAAAAAAAATAAAGTTCATTTAAAGTCCCCCCCCCCCTTTACCCATTGTAATAAAAAATCAACCCCTTCCCTGCCAATTAATCACTGACTACAGTGATCAATTGGCAGGGATTACATTTTACAATGATCTGATTTTTTTTTTAACCCCTGAGGGTTAATTCTTTTTTTTTTTTAACCCTCAGGGGTTACATTTATTTAATTAATTAATTAAAATATTTAAAAATTATATATTTAGCTGGGTGGGTGGAAGTTAGTGGGGAATTGGGGGATTTGGCGTTAGGCTAACTAGGGGTTAAAGTTAAAAAAAAGTTTTAAAATAAACTTTAAAAAGTTAAAAATTAAGCTTAAAAAAAGTTTTAATAATGTTTAAGTAAAAAATAAAAAAAACACCCCCCTTTACCTAGTCTATATAAAAATTAACCCCTTCCCTGCCAGTCGATCAATGCCTACAGCGATCAAATACAGATCACAGTATTATACTGTGATCTAATTTTTTTTAACCCCTGAGGATTAACTTTTATTTATTTTTTAACCCTCAGGGGTTCAATTTATTTAATTAATTAATTTAAATATTTTATAACTATATATTTTGCTACCTGGGGTGGGTGGGAGTTATGGGAAAATGGGGAATTTACTGTTAGTGCTGCTTACTGCTAGTTAGGGGTTAACGGTAAAAAAAAAGCTTAGAAAAATGTTAAATCTGTAAAAAAGTTTTAAGAAAGTTTAGGAAAGTTTAAAAAAATTAATAAGCAAAACAAAAGTTTAAAAACTAGTTTTTAAAAGTAAAAAAGTTAAAAAAGTAAAAAAATACATTTTAAAAACGCTCATTACCACTACACCTGGAACAAACTAGAGAAAAAATTATCCCACGCCAAGGTTCAAAATATGCCTTTTGAATTACCCCAGAGTGTATTCTTTAATAAATAGTATGTGTTTGTGGGGAAGTTTCAATAACCAACTGTCTAAACTACTCCAAATTGGAACATGGACACAGCGTAAAACTTCAAAGTTAGAAAAAAACTGAATGGCTGCGTCTCAAATGCACCCCTTCAACATCCACATATACCTGGCAAAGGCACATACGGGGGTATTGCTGTACTCATCCGACATAGCTGAGCAACATATGAAGTATTATACAGTCATAGCACACATAAGGTTTGCAAAATATGCTGCGCAAACTCACTTTGTATGTCAAAAAGCAGAAAAAATGCTTATTACCACTACACTTGGTACAAGCTAGCGGAAAAATGACCCCACGCTATGGTTCAAAATATGCCTTTTGAAATACCCTGGGATGTCTTCTTTAAGAAATGGTATGGCTTTATGGGGTATTTGGATTATATAGCCTGGTAAAATACTCTAAAATGGGACATAGGCACAGCATAAAAATTCAAAGTTTGAAAAAAACTGAAATGGCTGTGTCCCAAATGTGCCCCTCCGATGTCCACACGTACCTGGCAAAGGTACATACGGGGGTATTGCTGTACTCAGCCGACATAGCTGAGCAACATATGAAGTATGCTCATATGTTGTAGTGGCATCGCAGTGTTATGTTTCTGGGCTGTGTGAGGTTTGCGGCTGGGGGGGCGGAGGGCCCGGTGTGCCCTATTTAGCAGAGGTTGGCGGTGAAATGGCTACGTAGAAAGTGTCAAAACAACCTTAGATAAATAGCCTGTGATGTCTACTTTATCTAAATATATACTTTTGTGTGGCAATTTTGTTTTATTTTATGGCTATTAAGCTTACAAGACAAACATACCAAATTCTAAAATCGCTCCACATTAAAAGTCTATTTTACTCCTTGTGCTTTGTGACCTGTAACTACCAAAAAAAACTTAAAATCCCGACACATTATATATTCTGTAAATCAGAACAACTAAATAAATTTATTTTTAATTACTTTTCTTAACCTGCACTAATTAGGCACACATTACTATTGCAAAAACTGTAAAAAAAAAAAACACAAAATTTTCATTTTTTTTTTACATTTTTCTGTATTTTTTTTTTTTTTTAATAAATAAGCATGTATATATATATGTGTGTGTTACATCAAATTAAAGCCCTTTCTGTCCTTTAAAAAACGATGTATAATATGTGTTGGTGCAAAAAATTAGTAAAATTGCAGTTGAACGCAAACAGCAAAAAATGAAAAAAATGCTGTTGCCATTAAGTGAAAGACAAGCTTTTGAAGCTCTGTCCTTAACCCCTTAAGACCGGAGGGCGTACTATTACGTCCTCTAATAGGCGGCTCTAAACGCCGCCGGGCGTAATAGTACGCCCTCCGGTCTTTCTGTACTTACCCGGTCGCCGGCGGTCCCACGCCGGCGATCGCGGTGGGGGGGACTCCCAGGGAGCCCCCCGCGGCACGACCGTCCTCCAGGAAGCCCCCCGGCCGTGTGAGAGTGGGGTCCTAGCGAGGACCCCACAATCACATGGCCGGGGATAGCTGGCTTCTGTATTGCCAGCAGGGGGGCTGCCTGTAATGACAGGTGGTCCCCCTGCTGGCTGAAAATAAAAATGAAATAAATAAATAGTGTAAAAAAATAAATAATATATACTTAGATCATATATATATATTATATATATATGATCAAAGTATATATATATACACATATACATACACACATGTACACCGTCTAGGTGTATTTTACTATTAATATATATATAATTATATATATATATTAATATCAAATTACACGTACACTGATACTGATTAAATATATATATAATTATTGTTATATATATATTTATATATATTATAAAAAAAATTAAAATGTAAATACGTTAAAAAATAAAATTACAAAAATAATTAAAAATAAATAATTAAAAAATATATAGATGTGTGTTATTTCGTTCTAACTGTATTGTGAAATTAATATATATATATATATATCAAAATACACATAGAACGAAATAATATATATATTTATACACATAAATATATACGTATATATCACTATATATATACCTATATATAAATAAAAATATTTTAAAAAAATTATATAGATATATACATATATATACACATACGTATATATATACATATATTGATTCTACATATATATTTATGTAATATTTTTACATAATTAGGTATCTTAATTAATTACAATTAGCAGGACCTGCATGACAACCCATGCCGAAAGTAAAGGGAATTTAATTTGCTAGCACTATATTTAACCCTATAACTTTCCGAGACACCATAAAACCTGTACATGGGGGGTACTGTTCTACTCGGGAGACTTCGCTGAACACAAATATTAGTGTTTCAAAACAGTAAAATGTATTACAACGATGATATCGCCAGTAAAAGTGACGTTTTTTGCATTTTTCACGCACAAACAGCATTAAACGGACAATATTATTGCTATGATACTTTTTACTGTTTTGAAACACAAATATTTGTGTTCAGTGAAGTCTCCCGAGTACAACAGTACCCCTCATGTACAGGTTTTATGGTGTTTTCAAAAGTTACAGCGTCAAATATAAGGCTTGCGTTTCATTTTTTTCACATTAAAATTCGCCAGATTGGTTACGTTGCCTTTGAGACCCTATGGTAGCCCAAGAATGAAAATTACCCCTATGATGGCATACCATTTGCAATAGTAGACAACCCAAGGTATTGCAAACAGGGTATGTCCAGTCTTTTTTAGTAGCCACTTAGTCACAAACACTGGCCAAAATTGGCGTTTTTTGCATTTTTCACACACAAACAAATACTAACGCTAACTTTGGCCAGTGTTTGTGACCAAATGGCTACTAAAAAAGACTGGACATACCCCATTTGCAATACCTTGGGTTGTCTACTATTGCAAATGGTATGCCATTATGGGTGTAAATTTCATTCCCGGGCTACTATACAGTCTCAAAGGCAACGTAACCAATCTGGCGAATTTCAATTTCAAATGTAACGTGCTATATTTGACCCTGTAACTTCCCAAAACGCCATAAAACCTGTACATAGGGGGTACTGTTTTACACGTGAGACTTTGCTGAATACAAATATGTGTATTTTATTGCAGTAAAAGCAAACAGTATTATGACACTGACCGTTAAATGTCATGTAGAACTAAAAAAATCCAATAAAATCGTATTTTCTCCCATTTTTTTCATATTAAATTATGTTTCATAGCTAAATATTTGATATTAAATGAAAGCCCTGTTTCCCCTGAATAAAATGATATATAATAAGGGTGGGTGCATTTACTATGAAAGAGGTGTATTACGGTTGGACAGACATGTAGCGCAAATGCCAGGTTTTGTTTACATTTTGTTTTGTTCACAACGTGTACATTTGGCTCCGTCCTTAAGGGGTTAAGGGGGTTAAAACTAAGGGTAAATGAAAAGGAGCAGGAAAAAAAAAAAATCATGCCTCCCCGTCGGGGAATCGAACCCCGGTCTCCCGCGTGACAGGCGGGGATACTTACCACTATACTAACGAGGAATTGCATACACTCGTGCCCCGCGTTTGCAGACTCATGTTTCACTGTAAACACTCTCTCGTGTATGACGCCAAGTGGATGAGAGACACAGAAATAACAGCTATTGATGGGTCATTTTACCTGGCCAACAAGATGGCAGCGATCCTTGTCACGTTATGTCCCCCATGTTCTCATAGGGTCCCTCTCCGGGTTGCATGCCGGTATTGTGAGAGTGCTATTAGTGCCTGTGATCGCAGTGAGGCTCTGTCAGTTCCTGGAAGCTGAGCTGCAGATTGTTCCTGTGCAGTGCTATCACCAGCCATGGCGGATCCCAGCTCCTTCGCCTCTCCTGATCACTTCATCACCAGACACCTGAACCTCCATCTTAGCCTGGATTTCTGCAGCCGAGTTATCAGAGCCTCCACCTCCCTGACCGTGCGATCCCTGCAAGACAGCCTGAGCCAGCTGGTACAGTGACCATCATGTGCCACACCTGGCATGGGGCATAGATAGGGCACTGAGTGCATCACCTGGCATGGGGCATAGATAGGGCACTGAGTGCCACACCTGGCATGGAGCATAGATAGGGCACTGAGTGCCACACCTGGCATGGGGCATAGACAGAGCACTGAGTGCATCACCTGGCATGGGGCATAGACAGAGCACTGTGTGCATCACCTGGCATGGGGCATAGACAGAGCACTGAGTGCATCACCTGGCATGGGGCATAGACAGAGCACTGAGTGCATCACCTGGCATGGGGCATAGACAGAGCACTGAGTGCATCACCTGGCATGGGGCATAGATAGAGCACTGAGTGCATCACCTGGCATGGGGCATAGATAGGGCACTGAGTGCCACACCTGGCATGGGGCATAGATAGAGCACTGAGTGCATCACCTGGCATGGGGCATAGACAGAGCACTGTGTGCATCACCTGGCATGGGGCATAGATAGGGCACTGAGTGCCACACCTGGCATGGGGCATAGATAGAGCACTGAGTGCATCACCTGGCATGGGGCATAGACAGAGCACTGTGTGCATCACCTGGCATGGGGCATAGATAGGGCACTGAGTGCCACACCTGGCATGGGGCATAGATAGAGCACTGAGTGCATCACCTGGCATGGGGCATAGACAGAGCACTGAGTGCATCACCTGGCATGGGGCATAGACAGAGCACTGTGTGCCACACCTGGCATGGGGCATAGATACAGCACTGAGTGCCACACCTGGCATGGAGCATAGATAGGGCACAGAGTGCATCACCTGGCATGGAGCATAGATAGGGCACAGAGTGCATCACCTGGCATGGGGCAGAGATAGAGCACTGTGGGCCCACACCTGGCATAAGAAATATTACCTTGTGTGCCACACCTGGCATGGGGCATAGGGCATTGGCTGTAACATGCAGCTCTGCAGTAATAGGTTTAGGACTTGGCTCTCTAATTATACATTATATCAGGGGGTACAATGATTTATGTTTTTTTATTTTTTTTTATTTTTTTATAAATGTTGAACACTTACTGGTTACTATACAACAAATATCATGTACCATAAATTATTAATAAATCAAGCAGTGATTTACAGTGCATTTATCTATTTCCTGAAATTTAGCTTTTGCATATTGGTTCCCTATTTCTTAATTTTACATGCTCTGCAATTTGCCCCAGCCAATCATAATGGAGAGCGGAAAGAGACAATCAAACAGAAATAATTTGGGGCTTTATCAAAATGTCATGATCTGAAAAAGTGGTGCAAATGCCTATAAGTGGGGCAATCACCAACAAACCAAAGAATCAGGTATTAGTGATTTGCTGGAATTTCACAACTTGGTATCGTGACCTTGATAAAATGTATGTATTTCTCCTCTTTTAATGCAATGTGTGCTCGGGCTGTGCTAGAGCACACATTGTCCATTGTGATGTCTATTGCTAAAACAGAGGAACCAAGCATCGTAATCACTACAGTGTACTACCATAACCACTACAGCTGTAGCATTTGACTTCTATATACAATAGTGCAACCATGTGCTGCCCATCAGTATGTATAATAGCTGACGAGGCCCAAAGAAGGCTGAAACGATCATCCGGGGTTACTGTATTTCTTGTGCAGAGAGAACTTGCCGGCATTTAGGTTCTGGACTGCCCTTATGAGTGGGATCAGTCCGATATGCCTTGGAAAAGGTTCTCTCTGTAATTGCAAAAGTGATCAATGAGACCTGAGCAGGGATTTACCAAAGGGCAAGATATTGAGTTTCTCAAAGTTTTTGTCCTTTCTCAGAGTTCTTATATTCTTTGTTTTTGTTATAATTGATAGATATTCAAAAAATCTTGATGGATCTGGCAGCCCTCGATATATATGTTTTATACTTCTGATGAAGCCGAATTGGTGAAACGCGTAAAGTGATATTTCTTATAGCCCTTTTTGTTTTCTATATTGCTAATATTTGTTATCATTAAATAATTTTAAAGTGATATACTACTTTATTTTTATTCACCTTCCTCATCACTTCCTGGTACCATATATCCTTCAGTGGGGATTATACCACTGCAAGCCTTTTATACTAGAGCAAGTTGTCTGCTCTAACAAATGTGAGTACAACAACCTTCATTTTATTTTTTCCACATTTGAAATTAGAACTGCTACACTATTGGAGTTCTCTCTCTTCTGTTTCCATTTTATTTATGCCATCACATCAATGGAGCATTGAAAAGTTGAACTTTCTATCCTGAGACGGGGATTGTACCGTCCGTGCAAGTTAAGGTAGAGCTCCTGATTAGCTCTACCAAATGTGAGTTTGAAATACCTCAGTTTATACATTATTTTTGGTCTTTATTATAGAATATTGCACTATTGTATCTTCCTCTCTGTGTTTTATTTGAGGATATATTATTCACACCGATTAAGGGACATCAAGTGTATGTATGAAAAAATTTATTTAAAGCGCAGTTTCTTCTCCTTCTTTTATATTGTTTCCTTACAAGGCTGGGAATCCTTGCACTAGTTACTGCTGCTTATTTACTCTTTTTGTTTTGAAGTGAGCACCCGACACACCTCTCCTCAGCCCTCGATATAAGTCTGCTCTATGTTAGTCTGATTATCATAAAAGGTTATTAACTAAATTCAGAATTGCAGCAAATTAAATCCATATTGCAAAATTAAAGCTAAAATAGTCTATAGCTGAGTTGGAGAACTTTTCCATAACAACTATTTTTGCATAAAATATTGCTGTTTGTATTGTAATTTGCTACAATTCAGAGTTTAGTGAATAACGCTTATAATATCTGTCTGTCTAAGTTCTTGAGGTGAAATGATATTGTCAGCATGTTGTGAAGATATGCTGTTCACGATATGCAAAGTCTTCTGATTTGCAGAGTCTAAAGGTGAATGGGCAGGTTCACAGAGTAGAACGCAGATATTTCATATTTTTAACAATTAGCTAATTTAAAAAAGTTATTATTTAATCATAGACACCCTTGGACTCTGGCAGTAATGGTGGCTGAAGATCGATGAGAAAGAACTTGTCTGACACCGTTCAGCTCTCTGCTACTAGTAAAGCTGCCATATCCGCCATGTTTTCATGGACTCCTGTTCAAGGATTAACCCCATAAAACATAATTTTTATATATTAAAGGGTAGCACACGGGTGAGACATTCTAAAAAATTTTTTACATGTCCAAGAGACTAAAGCAGTAGCTTAATCTACTTATCCTGACACACGAAAGAACAATTTCAGTTACAAAAATGTGGGCCCTAATGTGGGCTCTTTGTGTGTTTTGTTACATGTGATGGCTGTGTGTACTGTGTATATATATTTGTTTTGCGTAATGTGTGTGCTGGCTGTATGTGAGATGTGTGACCATGCTTCCTTACTTCATACCTTTCTGCAGGGATGGGATGATCTTTGGTGGTACAAAGGTGGGTCTTTGATCCCTGGTGGTATAGGGGATAATTACATGGTAGTTTTTCGAGGTCCCTTGGTCCTTAACATTTTGAAGGTTTCTGTGCCCAGGTGTCCTTCAGGATCCCAGTGCTTTTGCGTCCTTTTGGTTCATGGTGTCCTCCAGGAACCTGGCCCACAGGCATCCTCCAAATTCCTGGTGTCTAATTATTTTCCAGGATCCCTTCTCTCTAGCATTGTGCTCCATTTTTTTTTAAATAGTGTATTATTATTATTATTATTATTATTATTTATTATTTATATAGCTCCAAAAAATTCCACAGGGCTTTACAATGGGTGAACTAACAAACATGTAATTGTAAACAGACAAGTTGGACACACAGGAACAGAGGGGTTGAGGACCCTGCTCAATGAGCTTACATGCTAGAGGTAGTGGGGTAAAGTGACACAAAAGGTAAGGATAGTATTAGAGAAGTAGATTGGTATGGTATGAATATGACTATGATTTTATAAAATGAATATAATATGAATATGATTTTATGATATGAATATGACTATGATTTTAACAAGACTTAATCAGCTAGGATAGATCCTACAGTGTAAAGATGTAAAACCATAAATGCAGAAAACTGAGACTATAGCCATTTAATCATAATCCGACATTTAACTGAGAAAACATATTTAGAATAAGTAAACGCTAGGAATACAGTCAGATGGTCTGATTAATGTGTTAAAGGAAAACTCCACATTTATACATACATTTGTGTATAACCCTGCAGAGATATTCACTATAGTGAGAAATGTCAAGTATTCAGAGTGAATTTCATATTTATGGTCAAAATAGCCAAACTGGAAGAAAAAACTCTATTCTTTCAGTTTGGCTATTTTGGCCTCAAATTTGAATTCACTTTGAATTAATAACAATTCTCTCTTTAGTGAATAGTGCTGTTACAGTGACATATTGCTAATTTAGATTTTAGGTAGCCCCTTTTACCTGAAAATAAATAATTAACTTATTAGTAATCGAGCAACAAAAGGGTGTTTCTTTGCAGCCATGATCTGACTGCTGTGAGATTAGTATTAATAACCTCCCAGCCAATAGAATGCTTCAAATAGAGAGGCATAACAATGCAGGCATATGTTAAACATAGAAACATAGAATGCCCAATTTTCTAAATACTTTCATTAGTCCCTGGCCTTATCTTATAGGTAGGATAGCCTTATGCCTCTCCCACGCAAGCTTAGACTTCTTTACTGTGTTAACCTCTACCACTTCAGAACTACTCGTGTTCGTCAATAGCCATTCTGCACCTTCAGTGCTTCTCATAGAGAAGCCTGTAAACCAATACTTCTCTGTGAGAAGCCCTCAAGGGACTCACAGCACTTTATAAAAGAGACAATTTCTCTTGCAATCTGCACCTTTCTAAAGTGACAAATGGGAGGACATTCTTTTAATGCCTGAAGTACCTAAGGGGTAATGAACCCCAGTCACATTTAGATTCAAGGCCTCCCTGTATGAACGGAAATAATAAGGTTTTACTCCCCTTTAATCCTGCAGTGTCCCGGTCTCAATAATGTGAATCTTAAAAGCCTAAGGACACTATAAGTACAAAAACAACTTTAGATTAATGGAGCAGTTTTGGTGTATAGATGATGCCCCTTTTTCTGTCCTGGCTGAGATGGAAAGCAAGAAAAACAGATGAGATTAACTTGACCCGAGAGAGGACTAGCGAAGGAAGCCAGAATTCTGGATTGAAGTAGGAGAAATCTGATGAAAAAAATATATATGGAAAAGCTCTCTCTGTGAAACACTGGGAAAGACATAATATGCAAACCCAAACCTGTTTGTTTTTTTCTGTGGCATGTTTAGGGTGGGTAGACATATTTTCCAAATTATACGCATATTGCCCACTTGAAGAGTTACAAATATGATGAAGCAATGGTAAGAAAATCTCAATTAGCTAAAATGCAAGGGAAGAGGAAGCAAATCACTTCCTCTTATATTGCAATTATTAAAGCAAGAATAATTCAGTGAGAGCATGATCAGCAAGCATAAATATAAACATATATAACCTACATGTTCATAAATGTAAAAAACATGAACATTGAACAGAAGTAAAGAATTTCAAAATGTGAGTCCTACATAAGATGACTTAAAATGTTTACAAAGTAAGCATCTTTGATTACAGGTCATCAGTAGTGATGAGTTGCAGGATAGTAATGGACGTCAGGAATGAGGAGACTCTCCCAAAGCTGACACAAGGTGGGTCTAACTGATTTTAGCTCTTTTAGTGACAAAATAGGGGCATTGATCTAAGCCAGGGATGTCAATCTCATTTGTTCTGGAGGGCCAAATTGTCCACTGATATAGGTATGGCTGCCAGGGGAAATGAACAGGGGTACGGTACCGTTCACTATTATTGGGCCACAAGGCTTGATATAAGAGTAGTCTTGCAGGCCAAATACATGGGCTCCATATAAGGGCTGTAGGTAGGCCTTAAGTTTGAAAAGCCCTGATCTAAGCAGTTTAAAGAGCTACTCTTATCACAAAACTCACTTCCACATCTTAATGAAATAAATTTGTTCTTTTTTGGACAATCTAAAACGATGCCATTTCTGAGGAATAGCAATATATCAATGGTCCGACATCTGGCGCTGACAGCCACAAGAGGCACTTTCTCATTGAAGACCTTTGATGAGAACCATTGGATTGGCCGGAGAACAACAGAACAGGCTGCTTCATAGAGACTGTCCCAGCTGCTTTACATTTTAGTTTAGTGGCTTTTTTTTGTTTGAAAGGGTGGGGCCAGTAATTTAAAAGGGAAGAGTGTTCATCTAAGAGTCAATATGTGTTGCAATTGTTCTCAAAGCTAACAAATGAAAACAATGGTGACTGCGGAAAATGATGTCACAGCCACTAAACCACACTGTCTGAAAAGATCCCTTCCGACACATATCCAGAGGAAGAGGAACTGTTTTTGTGGTTAGATATATCATCAGCATATTTATAATACAAAGTATGTATATTTATTATCACATATTATAAATCTTGTGATAACCAGATTCAGGCTGCACTTTACACTCCTGAGCAGCACCTTGCTGACATTGTAATAGTTTAACCTCTTCAGGACACAAGATGGAAATGTTTATTTTATTATTTATGTTATATGCAATTTAAGTGCGCTGTTTATTGGTATGACATGCGCAAAAGTTTGGACAACCTTTTATCCAATCCCTTAGATATTTCTTTGTAAGGTCTCAAATCTTTATATGGTTAAAGGAACACTGTAGGCACCCAGACCACTTCAGCTCATTGAAGTGGTCTGGGTGCAGTGTCCCTTTTGCACCTAGTACTGCAAAGTTAAACATTGCAGTTTCAGAGAAACAGCAATGTTTACATTGCAACACTAAGTCAGCCTCTAGTAGCAGTCTACCATGCAGTCACTGGAGGACTTGGATGTTTGGACAGGAGCCATTAGGGGAGTAATTTTAGTGCTTTCCAGAGGAGCTATCTTGAGTAGATGCGCCTCTGTTCATGACCATTTCTAAAAGCACAAGTGGTCATGGTGGTTGGGGTAACCCTTTAACCCCTTAAGGACACATGACATGTGTGACATGTCACGATTCCCTTTTATTTCAGAAGTTTGGTCCTTAAGGGGGTTAAAAAAAAAAAAAGGTACATTGCATTACAGTTAAAGGACCACTATAGTTCCAGGAAAACATACTCATTTTCCTGGCACTATAGTGCCCTGAGGGTGCCCCCACCCTCAGGGTCCCCCTCCCGCCGGGCTCTGGAAAGGGGAAAGGGGTTTAAACTTACCTTTTCCAGAGCTGGGCGGGGAGCTCTCCTCCTTCTCTCCTCCTCCGTGCGCGCATTCAGCCGGTCGCATAGGAAAGCATTTACAATGCTTTCCTATGGACGCTGGCGTGCTCTCACTGTGAGACAGCCACTGAGACAGCCACTAGAGGATTTGGGGGAAGGCTTAACCCATTAATAAACATAGCAGTTTCTCTGAAACTGCTATGTTTATTAAAAAATGGGTTAACCCTACCTGGACCAGGCACCCAGACCACTACATTAAGCTGAAATGGTCTGGGTGCCTAGAGTGGTCCTTTAAAGGTACATTAAAAGTGCCATAATCAGTACAGCTCTCTGTAGTGTTTATGGCACCAGGAGTGAACTGATCAGTCAAACTGTTTGCTAAAGGTTTGACTTCTTACCCTAGAAGACTTTGGTACGCCTTTGCCGATGCCCTTCTTATGTGAACTCCATTATAGGAACAGCATCCCAGAAGGGATGAAATCAGACTGTACTGTTAGGTGTGTTTTGTTCTGGACTTTCTCAAAGAAAAATGCTAAATTGATAGATTACCCCTGGACCTATAGGGAATGGACACTTAACTGCTGGACAGGGCCATGCAGAGTACAACAAGGGAAGTGGCTAACAAAAATGTTACAATGTATAGTGTATTGTTAGTAATGAGTCTTTCACTTACCAGGAGGGCAGCAGAGTAAAAGCATGTTTAATTTCTCCCACCCTCCTTTGCCAAAACATTTTGCTGTGTTTTGTTGTCTTTTATTAATTTTCTTTTCTTTGTCAAGCTTGCAAAAGTTTCTGGCCAACAGAATATATAGGAATGTAGCAATGCTGCCTCTGCTGGGCACTGGGGAGACATGCCATGCATGGACCGCTATGGCTAACAGTACTAGAGCTCAGGGATTTTGGTTAACTGACTACTTGGTAGGACAGAATTAGGTTTTAATGTTGGTACTTAATAAAGCTATTGCCTGTGCTCTTTACCAAAAGGATTGTGTTGGGATGTTGTTTATGGGATCCCTGGTTCACCAGTCATGAATCTACAGAGTGGCCATCATATATACCTACGTTTATCAATGCTAGAGGCTGCCAACATTCATTATAAAGCTATTTCAAGCACCATGACCACTTCAGTGATTTGAAGTGGTTATGGTGACAAACTGCATTAGAGAGGGTGGGCTATGGGTGCAGTTTTTTTTTTTTTTTAACTGCTCACTAAAAAAACGATTCTTTGCGCCATAACCACTGCAATGAACTTTAGCTGCTACAATGAGCTGTAGAGGTGATCGTGTTTATAGAGATTTTATTAAATGCATTAATTTATTTATCTTAAGGAGGAGTTACTGTTACCCTTTATAACACATCTGTTTTTTTTTTATAAACATGCAATTGGGCATTCCTAGCTAGTACAAAAAAAATTATTTAAAGCTTCCAGCATTTGTCTCCAGTCCTCTGTCCGACATCATCCCTGCACTTGTGCGGTCCGGTCAAATGGTTCTCATTTGACTGGACCATTTTGCCTGTTCAGAACTCATACTTGCGCTCTGAGCTGACGAAAGGATGGAAGAAGAGGGGGCAGGAGGGAAGTTTTTTTTTTTTTAAATTGAGTTCAGCTATGGAGGGAGATGGGGGGGGGGGGAGAGCAAGCTTCCCCTGCAAGTAAAAGATCAAAAGATCACTACATCTGTCACCAGCACGCAGTGCAGGCTGACAACAAATGAAATTTTTGTACAAGTTTGATACTGGGCACAAAAGTTATTATATCTTTGAATGTGCAGCATTTCAAACAGAAACACTGCACAGACACGTACCAACATAACAATTTCAAATTACTGAAGTGGTCAAGGTGGTTGGTGTAACCCTTTCATTAATAAAATAAATATTTAATAATATACATTTAACAACCTAAATAAATATGTTAACTATCAAAATTGTGGTAATGACACATTTGTGTAATGAGAACAATATCTACTTTTGCAGTTCACATCCCCACTCCAGTAGTCAATGGGCCCTTGGTTAATAACCGTGTCAGAGTAGCCCTTTAAGATGCCATTAGTACATATACCTGTGGCATTTTCTTAAGGTAATAAACATGATTTGCTTTTATTGTGCATTTGGGGAAAATACAAAGGCATCATTACAATGGAGTTCAGTGACAAAAACTCGAATTTTGAAGATTTGTCAAGAAAATTGTATAATTTATACCAAAATGGAAGAATTAGAAACAATCTATAACTCGATATTATTTTATTATTATTTTATTATTTTGGGGTATTTATTTTTTGCCTAAAATTTTCCAATCCTTTTGACAGTTTTCCACCATGCCATATTTAATGAATAAACCCAAGTGCTATTTTTAACAGTATTTCAAACATTATGTTATATTTTAATAATGTTAGAAAAAACAGAATGTCCCTAAGTGGGACTATTGGTGTGTACAAGTGAACCAGTGAGGGGGTAACCCTTAATTTGACAACAGAGAAAAATATATGTGTCCAGAGGATACTAATCCAATAGACACAAGAAAGGTTCATTGTAGAATATAGAACTAATATTAGAAAGACGTAACAATTAGATAAGTTTTATTACATATTTTCAGAAAAAGACATATATAACATAGACCCATTAAAAAAGAGATAATGTATTTCCCATCGGGGGATCCTTCACATAGACATAATACCTGTTGTTATCTGAGTATTTGAGTACAAGGGTGGTCTCTGATGGGTCTACAATGGTATACTACAAAGTATGATTATCCTTGGATTATTTTAGCACTAAATGCTATACTTTCAAATGGTTAACTATTGATCATTTTAATATACCCTTAATAGTGGTTTTGTTTTAGAAGGCTTTCATTGCTTTTCCTTATTGCCACAAGGGACTTAGTGTAAATGATTTATATAGTTATATTAGAGTGACAGGTTTCTTTAGGTGTCAGTCTGGGGTTATTACAGGTTAAAATTGGTTATAAGTACAAACTATACGACTCAGATTTTCTACTATAGTGGTGCTTTTTTTCTAGGGCCTTAGACTGCCTTTAATTCTAACCACAAGAGGTCTGAAGTTGTTATATACACCTTGTTTTTTACTATCAACTCATGCTATTATACAGCTATATGATATAAAGAATATACTGTCAAATGGTTAACCAGCGATCACTATAGTATACCCTTAATGGATCACTATAGAGTCAGGAAAACAACGCGGTTTTCCTGACACTATAGTGCCCTGAGGGTGCCCCCACCCTCAGGGTCCCCCTCCCGTGGCGCTGAAGGGGTTAAAACCACTTCAGCAACTTACCTTAATCCAGCGCCGGGCTCCCTGGGCGCTGGTGACCTCTCCTCCCCCACCGACGTCAGCTCCCGAGTGGAGCGGAATGCGCATGCGTGGCAAGTGCTGCGCGCGCATTTAAACAGTCCATAGGAAAGCATTTCTCAATGCTTTCCTATGGACGTTCTGCACGTTGGATGCAAATTTGGCATCCAGCGTCGCAGATGCGTCTCTAGTGGTTGTCAGGAAGAGAGCCACTAGAGGTTGGATTAACCCCAAATGTAAACATAGCAGTTTCTCTGAAACTGCTATGTTTACATCTGCAGGGTTAAAACCTGAGGGACCTGGCACCCAGACCACTTAATTGAGCTGAAGTAGTCTGGGTTCCTATAGTGTCCCTTTAATAATGGTTTTGTTTTAGAAGGTCATTTCATTGCCTTTCTGTATTGCCACAAGGGACATAGTGTAACTGATATACAGTATATAGCTATATCAGAGTGACAAGTTTATTTTTCTCGAAATATTTAATAAAACTTATCTAATTGCTGTCTCTCTAATATTAGAACCTTTCTTGTGTCTATTGGATTAGTATCCTCTGGACACATATACTTTTCTCTGTTTTAATAATGTTACTGTCAATCAAATTATGTGTCAGAGGCAAAAAAAGCAAAGATACGTTAAAATAAATATATTCCACCCTACTAACTGATAAGTCGCAAAAAATACTTGTCCGCCTATGAATGACTACATTTCCATTGATGCTTTGCGCGGCTGGCAAAGTTTCCCGTTGCATGCCGGGATTGTGAGAGTGCTATTAGTGCCTGTGATCGCAGTGAGGCTCTGTCAGTTCCTGGAAGCTGAGCTGCAGATTGTTCCTGTGCAGTGCTATCACCAGCCATGGCAGATCCCAGCTCCTTCGCCTCTCCTGATCACTTCATCACCAGACACCTGAACCTCCATCTTAGCCTGGATTTCTGCAGCCGAGTTATCAGAGCCTCCACCTCCCTGACCGTGCGATCCCTGCAAGACAGCCTGAGCCAGCTGGTACAGTGACCATCATGTGCCACACCTGGCATGGGGCATAGATAGGACACTGAGTGCCACACCTGGCATGGGGCATAGGCATGGGGCATAGACAGAGCACTGAGTGCATCACCTGGCATGGGCATAGACAGAGCACCGAGTGCATCACCTGGCATAGACAGAGCACTGAGTGCACTCCTGGCATGGGGCATAGACAGAGCACTGAGTGCATCACCTGGCATGGGGCATAGACAGAGCACTGTGTGCCACACCTGGCATGGGGCATAGACAGAGCACTGAGTGCATCACCTGGCATGGGGCATAGACAGAGCACTGTGTGCCACACCTGGCATGGGGCATAGACAGAGCACTGAGTGCATCACCTGGCATTGGGCATAGACAGAGCACCGAGTGCATCACCTGGCATAGACAGAGCACTGAGTGCCACTCCTGGCATGGGGCATAGACAGAGCACTGAGTGCATCACCTGGCATGGGGCATAGACAGAGCACTGTGTGCCACACCTGGCATGGGGCATAGGCAGAGCACTGAGTGCATCACCTGGCATGGGCATAGACAGAGCACTGTGTGCCACACCTGGCATGGGGCATAGACAGAGCACTGAGTGCATCACCTGGCATTGGGCATAGACAGAGCACCGAGTGCATCACCTGGCATGGGACATAGACAGAGCACTGAGTGCATCACCTGGCATGGGGCATAGACAGAGCACTGAGTGCCACTCCTGGCATGGGGCATAGACAGAGCACTGAGTGCATCACCTGGCATGGGGCATAGACAGAGCACTGAGTGCCACACCTGGCATGGGGCATAGACAGAGCACTGTGTGCATCACCTGGCATGGGGCATAGACAGAGCACCGAGTGCATCACCTGGCATGGGGCATAGACAGAGCACTGTGTGCATCACCTGGCATGGGGCATACATAGAGCACTGTGTGCATCACCTGGCATGGGGCATACATAGAGCACTGTGTGCCACAACTGGCATGGGGGATAGTTCGCGAACTGCAACAGGCAGCATTGCAGGAATAGGCCCAGGCTACAGCCAGAGCCCTAGTCATAACTTAATATTGTGTATATAGCGGAGATTTTAAATTGTGTGACATCATTTTTATTTTGTGTGTATGTTCTATAAGTTATTGTAGTTATGTGTATCCTTTCCTGCAATTGGTGGTAGTTGCTTTTGTGACCAGCAGCTACTATCTGTAGATGTTACCGTTCTGTCCCTGTTACAGATGTGCTGGGGAGATGCAGAGAATGAAGCCCTCTCTCCCCACCTCCCCTCCTGTCATATCCCTAAAAGGAGAGAGGCTGAATCAAGGAAGCAGATGTAATTATCTGCTACCTGGGAGTGTAACTAACACTAATGTTGGGAAGGCCAAGACACACAAATTCCCTAGTCAGTAAATTACCTCAAGAAACTAGCCATAACCTTAATTATAAATAAATAATAAAACAGTAATCAAAGATATGTGATGGTGAAGCATTTATTAAGGCACAATAATGCTATTTTGGGGTTATGGAGACTTTTATAACCAATATCTATTGGGCTTTTCATACTTTCTCACAGCATTTAGCAGAAGATGCTGAAGTTTTCTAATACAATATACACACTATCTAAAGAGCGGTTTACCCTTGACAAAATGTCCCAATGTCTTTTTATATTGAGTAAATAGATGCTTTAAAGGTGTATTCCTGACGCAATAGTTTTAAACCCACTATTTTTTTACTCACACTGAAAAGGCAGTGTTTACATTAAAAAGCATGGAGGGATATGTTATTGACACCAGAACCACTACATTAAGCTGCAGTTGTTCTGGTGAATAAACTGCTCCTTTAAATTATATATAATATTGCTCATAAACTTAATTCCAGTGACATTTGGGTGAAGGTTTTTTTCTCCGCTGAAACATAGTTGCTCATGAAATTCTTTATTTTGCAAGAATACTGTTGAGTTACAGTATCAGTTACACTTTACACAATACCTGCCAGTAATTGATTCCTGTATGCTACAGTAATCTCCTCTGGAGATTATTTTGCTGAATTTAATCTCCAATTGTTTGCAGTGAACGAATACAATTTGTTTGCTATTTTTTCCCCCCCTCTGACAATTGCCACGTGCATGATGCATTGCCAGGACCAAAAGGTACCTATATTAGACATGCATCCAATTTTAAATGAATGACAAAATCAATGAAAATTTCAGTTTTTGTTAATTTAATCTGAGAACTAATAACAAATCGCTGTATGAACAAATAGGTCAAACATAATTGTTTCGTTCATCGCAATTTGTATCCGCGCGTGGACTGCTGTAGCCATGCAGGTTTTTTTAAATAATTCTTATTTATTTTTTGGGCTGGGTGTGTTTATGCAATTGCATAGCCTATCTTTAAAAGTCATTGTTTGCTTTCATTTTGCATTAACCTGTTTTAGTAAACCAGTCCATTCATTTCCATAGAGATTAAAGGACCACTATAGGCACCCAGACCACTTTAGCTCATTGAAGTGGTCTGGGTGCCAGGTCCCTCTAGTTTTAATCCTGCAGCTGTAAACATGAGGGTTAATCCAGCCTCTAGTGGCTCTCCCACTGACAGGCACTAGAGGCTACTTCCGCGATTCTCACTGTGAAATCCACAGTGAGAAGACGCTGGACATCCATAGGAAAGCATTGAGTATGGGCTGTTTGAGTGCGCGCGCGGCTCTTGCGGCGCATTTGGTGCTGACGTTTGCAGGAGCAGGAGAGTTCCCCAGCACCGAGGGAGCCCGGCGCTGGAGACATGTAAGTGGCTGAAGGGGTTCTAACCCCTTCAGCCCAGCGGGAGTGGGGCCATGAGGGTGGGGGGGACCTAATGACCCTAGAGTGCCAGGAAAACGAGTTTGTTTTCCTGGCACTATAGTGGTCCTGTAATGATTCGAATGAATGAAAATTTGTAATTATTTCAGACAGACCAGGGTAGATACTGAATGAATTTTGGGTGATCCAATACAAAAAATAAATATTTTAGAACGAAAAAAAAAATCTCTTTCCATGCACCCCTGTAATCTAGATTTCTACAGCATATCTCATTATGTCTACCTGGATTTATTCAAAATAAACTAATTAGGTGAACAGTGTATCTGTAGGATCACTCAAAGCCTAATATTTACTTATGTGTATCTTGTTCTTTATGTGTGGTGTATGAGGGCATTTACTGTTTCAGTTTTTTCTCATTTAAACAAACAAAAAAAGCAATAATAAAGTTTTAGTTTAAGGAAAAAACCTTCCCTCAATCCTGTGCCAGGACCACTTTCCTCCTACATCCCAATGTCCCGCAACATTGCTGCTCTTAAGGGTCCAATCAAATGCTTCTCATAAAAAAGCATTGGTTAATCTTGGGATGCATGCGCTTCCAGCTCAGAAACCCATCACACAGACCATTCTGCTAGAGACATTTAATCTAATGATTCTCTATCAGAACAAGTGAATGCTTTATCATGTGTGCAGTGCGTGTATTCACGAGTTGAGTGACAGCTCATGGTTTTTGCTAATGCCCACCTTCCAATCCAAGTGCCGAGGGGGAAGGGACGGAATATTGGGCAGTCTATTAAAGTGAAGTCCTTAAGGCTTCCCATTGCAGGCATGCTCACAGCGCTGCCTGCAAGGGAAGAACCTGATTATGTATGTTGCCAGTACACAGTGTGCATTGACAATGGCCATTCAAAAAAAATTATAATAATTATGCACAGAGTTAACGTTAGTCAGTCTAGAACAGTGTTCCACCCTGACTACATCACTTACACCGGAGGTGTGGCTACACTCTGGCAGCAAAGTAGGAATATCTAGATTGCTGCACGTACCATGGCCTCTTCTAAAAGCAGAAGTGGCCATGGTGGTTGGAGTAACCTTTTAAACTTTATCCTTTTTTGTGCAATATTAACTGAGAATCTAGAAGACCTTTTTAGTTCACTGCTTCCTGTCTTGTCTTTCTTATTTATTTATTTTTAACTAAACAGAGATAGGGCACCTGCACATGTGTATTTGGCTTGCAAATAAAATGCATAAAATGGATAAAAAAACTTTACATTTGTTTATTTTCTGGCCAGTATTATATACTCTTTTTGATAAGCTGTAATAAAGAGAAAGAGATATGCTATAGCAACTTAATATTTCCTATTATACATATTTGTTTAACCACTTAAGGACACATGACATGTCATGATTCCCTTTTATTCCAGAAGTTTGGTCCTTAAGGGGTTAAAGGGTTGAATGCCTGGAATGTATTCAGACACCAAGTTTTATTTGAAAAATACATTGGACACTTGTTCCTACCAAACGTGGCACTCTCTGAGTGTATCACTAATGTTATAACTGTGATGGCCTACTTTGGTACCCTGATGCATTTTAGACGCCCGATGGCCATTGTTAAAAATATAGTTGGCAAACATCTGGGATGTCCAGGTCCTCCATCACTCTCCTGCAATACAATATGAGTGAGGAAACCCACACCAACACAATTCTGTGTGGATAATATCTCATCCTCGGCAGAGTTGATAATTCTTAGGTTTTCTGAAAACATCTGTGCTTCTAGAATGCTGGTTCCTTACATGCTTAGCAGAAGATTATCAGGGTCATTAACTAAAGACTAAAACGTAAAAATGACTGATCTGGAAAAGTTCTCCAACTTAGTACAGCTTAGCTGTTTTTGCCTCTTGTTTTGCCATTCACTAAAATTCAGAGTTGAATGTATAACTACTAATAGCTTTAAAGTGGTTTTTGATCAATGCTTCTCCTGATTTTTAGGTTTTTGACACCAAGGACCTCACTATAAAGAAGGTTGCTGTGCAAGGACAAGATGCCAAATTTAAACTTGGAACAAGTCACAGTTTTAAAGGAACGCCTCTGGAAATAACACTTCCATTTCCCCTGACAAGGTACTTCTGACATGTATTTAAACCTTTAAGTCCGCTGTATTTTTAACGTTTATCTGCATAGTATTAAAGCTATTGAAATATATAATGAATACAATACTGGTGTTTGGTTAACTAATAATTCCATATTACTCTGCCAACAATAGCGTAACACAGAATAATGGCCGTTGTACTGTACAAACCTATTGGAAAGGCCAAATGTGACCCTTCTGATGTAGAGGGATTTGTTCCTTGTTACAGGGAACTTTAGGCACTGATAAATTAATGTTTGTTTTTATTCTGTTCCTACCCTTCAATTGAAAGTTCATGCTAACATACAGTACTTTTGGTTTACACAAGCTCTATTGTATGTGCATATGTTATTACCCAACAATACAAATAAAACCAAAAGAAAGAAAACGCATACCATTTAATTCTAACAGATTCAGACCCTTTATAGAGATTATGAAGTATATTTAAAAGGATGGTCAAGTGATGTCATTATTGTGATTGTATTTATGAAAGTGTTCTAAAAGTGAGATTTCTCCACTTTAAATTCCAAAAATCTTCTCTGAAATATCCATTTCAGTACCCTGACATTTTAGAGTGGCAGAAAAGAGAAGTGAAACAGAATACTTTGCTGATGGGGGGAGATATGCTAAACCTTCCTCATAGAGATGCATTGACTCAAGGCATCTCTAAGTGGTGATGCTGATTGGCCAGGGCTCTGCCCCCACCCCACCAGCTTTGTGTTCCTGACACTATACACTATATAGTGCTCCTTTAATCGCACACCAGAGGCTCCTGCAGGCACTAGCAAACTATGAACAGAGCAGAAGATAAGAAAACTGCAATTTTACTCACTGTAAGTTCCTTTTTCCTTAATATGGTGGCAGTACAGTGGGGATGTACTCTTCCCATGGGACACGCATCTGAAATTAAAAAATTAACATAAATGTTCCTCCCCCAACACGTATAAGACACCAACCTGCCATGGACCCTCAGTACATCCCAATAAAACATCAGAGACTTACTACTGCAAAAATATCAAATGTATTAATTATGGGATGGAGAGAAACATAGAACATAGAAACATAGAATGTGACGGCAGATAAGAACCATTCGGCCCATCTAGTCTGCCCAATTTTCTAAATACTTTCATTAGTCCCTAGCCTTATCTTATAGTTAGGATAGCCTTATGCCTATCCCACGCATGCTTAAACTCCTTTACTGTGTTAACCTCTACCACTTCAGCTGGAAGGCTATTCCATGCATCCACTACCCTCTCAGTAAAGTAATACTTCCTGATATTATTTTAAACCTTTGTCCCTCTAATTTAAGACTATGTCCTCTTGTTGTGGTAGTTTTTCTTCTTTTAAATATAGTCTCCTCCTTTACTGTGTTGATTCCCTTTATATATTTAAATGTTTCTATCATATCCCCCTGTCTCGTCTTTCCTCCAAGCTATACATGTTAAGATCCTTTAACCTTTCCTGGTAAGTTTTATCCCGCAATCCATGAACCAGTTTAGTAGCCCTTCTCTGAACCCTCTCTAAGGTATCAATATCCTTCTGAAGATACGGTCTCCAGTACTGTGTACAATACTCCAAGTGAGGTCTCACCAGTGTTCTGTACAATGGCATGAGCACTTCCCTCTTTCTACTGCTAATACCTCTCCCTATACAACCAAGCATTCTGCTAGCATTTCCTGCTGCTCTATTACATTGTCTGCCTACCTTTAAGTCATCAGAAATAATCACCCCTAAATCCCTTTCCTCATATGTTGAGGTTAGGACTCTATCAAATATTCTGTACTCTGCCCTTGGGTTTTTACGTCCAAGATGCATTATCTTGCACTTATCCACATTAAATGTCAGTTGCCACAATTCTGACCATTTTTCTAGTTTACCTAAATCATTTGTCATTTGGCTTATCCCTCCTGGAACATCAACCCTGTTACATATCTTAGTATCATCAGCAAAAGACATACCTTACCATCAAGACCTTCTGCAATATCACTAATAAAAATATTAAAGAGAATGGGTCCAAGTACAGATCCCTGAGGTACCCCATTGGTGACAAGTCCAAGCTTCAAATATATTCCATTAACTACAACCCTCTGTTGCCTGTCACTAAGCCACTGCCTTACCCATTCAACAATATTGGAATCCAAACTTAAAGATTGCAGTTTATTGATAAGCCTTCTATGTGCAACAGTGTCAAAAGCCTTACTGAAATCTAGGTAAGCAATGTCTACTGCACCACCTTGATCTATAATTTTAGTTACCCAATCAAAAAAATCAATAAGATTAGTTTGGTATGATCTCCCTGAAGTAAACCCATGTTGTCTCTGATCTTGAAATCCATGTGTTTTAGATGTTCATCAATCCTATCCTTTAACATGGTTTCCATCACTTTCCCCACTACTGAAGTAAGGCTTACTGGCCTATAGTTGCCCGACTCCTCCCTATTACCTTTCTTGTAAATGGGCACAACATTCGCTAACTTCCAATCTTCTGGGACTACTCCTGTTAACAATGATTGGTTAAATAAATCTGTTAATGGTTTTGCTAGTACACCACTAAGCTCTTTTAATAGCTTTGGGTGTACTCCATCAGGTCCCATTGACTTATTTGTCTTTACTTTTGACAGTTGAAATAGAACCTCTTCCTCTGTAAACTCACGTGTAATAAATGACTCATTTATCCTTTTTCTCAACTGAGGTCCCTTTCCTTCATTTTCTTCTGTAAATACAGAACAAAAATATTCATTGAGGCAGTCAGCCTGACCTTTATCCTCTTCTACATACCTTCCTTCTTTTGTTTTTAATCTAACTAATCCTTGTTTTAGTTTTCTTTTCTCATTTATGTATCTAAAAAATGTTTTATCCCCCTTTTTTACTGACTGTGCTATTTTCTCTTCTGTGTGTGATTTGGAAGCTCTTATAACTTGCTTAGCCTCTTTCTGCCTAATCTTATAGATCATTTTGTCTTCCTCACTCTGGTTTTTTTATAATTCCTAAATGCTAACTTTTTGTTTTTAACTATTTTGGCCACATCTGCGGAGTACCACAGTGGTTTCTTGAATTTTTTGCTTTTACTGACAAGCCTAATGCAATTTTCTGTTGCCTTCAATAGTGCAACTTTTAAATAATCCCATTTCTCTTGGACTCCATTTAAATTGCTCCAGTCTGACAATGACTCCTCTACCCATATTCTAATTTTAGAAAAGTCTGATTTTCTAAAGTCTAAAACTTTTGTTTTTGTGTGGTGTGACTCAGTCACTGTTCTTATATTAAACCACACTGACTGATGATCACTGGATCCTAAACTTTCACCTACAGTAACATCTGATACTAAATCTCCATTTGTACTGCCACCATATTAAGGAAAAAGGAATTTACGGTGAGTAAAATTGCAGTTTTATTTCTGATATATGGTGGCAATACAATATGGATATATCGAGATGCCAGAGCTATGGGCGGGAATTAAGCAACCACCGCTTGTAACACCTTATGCACAAATGGAGCGTCAGAGGCAGAGAATACGTCTAGTCTGTAATGCTTGATGAAGGTGTTGAATGAAGACCATGTAGCGGCTATGCAGATATCTTCAGGTGAAGCATGTGCTCTTTTGGCCCAGGAAGCAGCCATTGCTCTAGTAGAATGAGCTTTCAAGGAGGCAGGTGGAGGCAGATTTGAGAAAGAATAAGCCAATTTAATTGTGTCCACGAGCCATTTTGCTAAAGTAGATTTGGGGGCAAAAAGATGGTCAGTCTTCCTGTATTTAGAGGAGCGGACTAAATAGATCTTCAGAGATCTTCCGACATCCAACGTGCCAATTATCATCCAAATTGGAGACAGATGGATAACCAAAGGAAGGCAGGGAAATAGGTTGATTGATAGCCTTGGAAGACTTGACTTTAGTTAGAATCAAAGGTTTCGGACACAGAACAACTTTTTCTGGAAGAATTTTTGTAAATTCAGCAGATGATTAAAAAGCCTGAATTTCACCTATCCTCTTTGCAGAAGTTATGGCCACCAAAAAAGCTGTTTTTAGAGACCAGAGCTTTAAAGATGTTTCCTCCAAAGGTTCGAAAGGATGGGTACAAAGAGCCTTCAAAACCAAAGACAGATCCCAAGAGGAGAAAAAACTCTCTTCTTGGGGACTTAATCAGCCTGACGGCCTTAAAAAATCTCCTAATCAGAGGATTCAAAGCTAAGTTCTTTACCAAAAAAGGCTGAGAGCAGAAACTTGAACTTTGAGGGTAGATAAATTAAGACCCCCTTTAAGGCAAAAAATGCAAGATTGTATCAGTAGAAGGAGAATCTTGCAGGCAATGATATGCACCAATGAAGGAATTTCGTCAAAATTTTTAAATCGATAGCAGAGGTAGATCTTCTGGTGGAATTCAGCAGAATCTTGATGCAGATGAGATTTCCCTAGGTTTATCACACAACCATGTGCTTTCATGATATTTTTTGTCTTAGTATGGAACAACCTTGTACGCTTAAGGTTGCGATAGGCATGAGAACCTTTGTAAAAATCCTGGGAGCTCAGGCAAGACAGAATAAAAGGGCTTTGAATTGAAAGTGACGAACCTTGTGACCCTTTCTTATGGCAAATAGCAGATACTTTCTTGAGCCAGCGTCCATAGGAATGTGAAGGTAGGAATCTTTCAAATCTAAACTTGCAATAAAATCTCACTTTTGGAGGATATGAGTGACTGATGCGATGGTTTCCATTCTGAAATGCTGGTAAGGAATATTGTTTAATTATTTTAGATCCAAAATGGGACGACAGGACAAATCTGGTTTTGGGACCAGGAACAACTGAGAGTATACACCCTGATACAACCGGGTTCTTGGAACTCTTTCTACAAGACCTTTCTTTAAAAGAGTAACCGTAGCGGAGAATAGAGCTTGTGGTTTTTTTTTTGTTGTTTTTTTTTTTTAGTTTTGAATGGTAGGAGGGAACAAGGAAACTTGGTCTTGGTATATCTAAGAACTTTATTTTGTATCCTCTTGCAACTAGATTCAGAATCCATGGATTTGTAGTGGTGTCTCTCCATCTGTGAGCAAATTGTTGTATCCGTCCACCTATTCTCAGAATCTTTTTGCTCTGTCAGTCTTGAAGTCTTTATTTGCTTTTAACTTAGGATCTTTCCTTTTGTTGACAAAAAACCTGTTTTCTTGATACCCCCTGCGGTTCTTGTATTGGAAGTTATTGTATCTGGGCTTCCAGACATACTTCCTGTCCTGAGGGAGAGCATTTTTGGCAACCGACATTTGTCAGATTAATTCTTCCAAAGGAGAATCAAATAATGTCTTCCTCTCCAAGGGCAGTTCACAAAGTGCACACTTTGAGGCCGCATCAGCCGTCCATGCTTTAAACCAAAGTACCCTGCGAGCTACAGATGTCAGGCCCATGAAACGAACAGAAAGTTTAATCACCTCTGGGATAACATCTAGCAGATATTCATTAGATAACTTTAAATTGTGGAACAGGCGAGAGAGAGATCTGTCTCCTGGTTATCTACAGGCTATCTTCCAATCCATGAATCCAGTAATACTGAGATTTAGCCACGGAGGCTCCTGCCAATGCTGCTTTAGCCTGAAATCCTGATGCTTGATTATGCTCGTCTACCGGAGGTTTTTAGCCCTTTTATCCATAGGGTCTTTAAGTCCAGAGACTTCTCCAATCGGTATAGTAGTCTTTTTAGACAACAGAGCAAATGGTACGTCAAAGACTGTCAAGTCTTCTCACTTGTCTTCTCCTTGCAGCTTTATGATCTTGAAATGCCTTGAAATAAACGCCATTTTTTTTTTAGGGTTTTCCACTCTCTGAACATAAGTTCCAGAATCTGCTATGATACAGGAAAGGCTTTCTTACTCCCTTTATCTGATGTTTTTTTCACATGGTAAGGGGTGAATTTAGTAAGGGGAAATGGTGGATGGTTTGAGCATTTGGTTAGTAAAAAAAAAAAAAAAAAAATGTCCTGTCAGATGAAGAGATGAGTGAAGGAACGGATTGTAGGGGGAACCGATGGTGTCAGGTTTGGGGAATGTGATGTGGGGTAAAGGGAAGGTTACAATTGAGGGAATGGCTGTGTAAAGGAAGGGATTGGGGGTTAATGACTGCAAGGAGAAGAAGGAATGAGGGGAGGGGAAATGAAAGAAAGGTAAAGCAGAGAAGAGGGGTGACTACAAGGTGTGACTTGTTAAATAATCTTGCCTTGAAACATTTCCTTTTTATTATTCCATACATTTCCACTTGTGTGAGCATTGATTAGAATAAAGTTAAAGCTACTTGCTTTAAATTGAAAGCAGTTGGGTTGTAATAGAGAAACTATAAACGCCTAGGATAATCTACACCCTGTACCTTGTACCTGGCAGTATAATAACACCGTGGTTGATGATCCCATTGAACTTAAAATACTCCTGTATCTTCTGCACTTCCTTATCAAGCTGCTCTAAGTTCGACATTTTCTGCTTATTCAGTAGCTGCTGACAGGGACACTGAAATCTTACTTGCACAGCAGTGTTTTTTTTTGGTTTTTTTTATACTGAACTTGGCTCCCTGTGACAGCTTGTTAAAGAAACCCTATAATCAAAATATAAAAACAAAGACAGGTCCCCTAGCCTTCTACCTTGCCTTTATATAAAATTTCAGTGATTATAATATAAACTTACCACCGTTCCAGCGCCAAGATCCTCGGCAGGCCGCGTCCCCTTTTTCATCAAAATGACGAAATAGCAGGGCTCAATCAGATGCTTCTCTTGGAGAAGCATCATAGCGAGCTGATGCGCATGCATGGCTTCGCACTGCACCAATCACGTTCTTTATAGAGCGGCATTCAATGCTGCCCTATGAATGAACACTGAGCACTGTACCGCGCGTTCACGAGCTGAGCTGACTCTCAGCTCGCTGTCTATGCCCAACCCCCTTCCTAAGCACAAGGTTTGTGTGTATACAAATGCTATATAGAGTGTTTGTATAAAAACACACAAGTTTTAAAAAACTTACACACACACTATCCATCTCTCTCTATGCTTCCATCTCTATGGAGAGGGATGGATGGATGGATGGATGGATAGAGAGGTCTGGAGGGAGGGGTGGATGGATGGGGATCTCAATCTCACACACATTCACTCACTCTTTCACCAACACTCAATCAATCTCACTCACACTCTCTCACCCACACTCACACTCACTCTTTCTCAATCTCACACTCTCACTCACTGTCTCACACTCACTCTTTCTCAATCTCACACTCTCACTCACTTTCTCACACTCTCTCTCTCAATCTCACCCACCCTCACTCACTCACACTCACTCTCTCAATCTCACACTCTCTCGCTCAATCTCACACACTCTCGCTCAATCTCACACACTCTCGCTCAATCTCACACACTCTCGCTCAATCTCACACACTCTCGCTCAATCTCACACACACTCTCTCTCTCTCTCTCGTTCTTTCCTTTTCCTTTTCCCTTTCCCCCTCCCCTTTCCCCTTTCCCCTTTCCCCTTTCCCCTTTCCCCCTTTCCCCCCTTTCCCCTTTCCCCCTTTTCCCCTTTCCCCCTCCGGGTTACTACAGGACACAGCAGGCACATTCACAGTGCCTCCTGTGTCCTGATAGCCACTGGAGGTGTTCCTAACTTCCAAGGTAAACACTATATATTTTCTCCGAAAATCCAGTGTTTACATGAGAGAGGCTGCAGGGAGCTATTGTACTCACCTGAACAACCCCATTAAGCTGAAGTTGTTCAGGTGACTATAGTATCCCTTTTAATTACTATACCAGGATGACAATAAAAACTTGCAGTAATCAAACTAATGTGATACAGTCCCCGACTGAACAGTAGCTCAACGGAATGTAAATGTAGAGTTTTTGATGTATTAGGTTAAAACTGGTGTTGTGGCGTGGCTAGGAGTTATGGGGAACTTAAGATTTACAGTAAAGTGCATTTCTGATATTCAGCCATTTTGTACCTCAATCATTGGATTTTGATATCGTATGGTCAGAATTACATGCAATGTATTACTGCTTAATTTCAATTAAATTCTTCTTTTTTTTTTTTTTTTTTTAAGAAGGAGGAGGGAACTTATATATTTGACCACCTGGTAAATATTAGAGGTTACTGTTATGGTATATGTAAGGGTAGCAACTATCACATGTCAGACTATTAATACCTGCAACGTAATATCTGTATGATCCTCCGGTGTTTTAAGAACAGGTATTTGTAACACCTTTCACTTTCTCATCAGGGGGCAGGAAATTATTGTGGATATCTCATCTGAGACCTCTCCAAAATCCTCAGCTCTTCAATGGCTCAAACCTGAGCAGACTGCGGGCAAGGTTCACCCTTATCTCTTCAGTCAGTGTCAGGTAACAAGATTCTATTGTATTATCTTTTTTTTACTTTAAGGCGTCTGATAAGGAACTTCATGGCTGTTGCCAAACAAAACTATTCAATGTGTGCTGGGTTATTTTCAACTGATGCAGGGCTCAAGATCGAACTCTCCCTAAAAAAGCATCATCGCTCTTCCCCTGTCACATCCACTCCCATGCAGTGCAGCTTTCTCATTTTCTATCCCTGGGACTGCAGTATGGAACCAGGCAGCCGTGATTCTTCCACCGGGGCCAGGTGCTAACCATCTGGATGTCCAAGTTGGTTAAAGGACCACTATAATGCCACGAAAACAAACTCGTTTTCCTGGCACTATAGTGCCCTGAGGGTGCCCCCACCGGGCTGAAGGGGACTCTCCTCCTCATTCGGTCGTCATCGGCTGAATGCGCATGCGCGGCAGGAGCTGCGCGCGCATTCAGCCAGTCCATAGGAAAGCATTCTCAATGCTTTCCTATGGACGCTGGCGTCTTCTCACTGTGAAAATCACAGTGAGAAGCGCGGAAGCCCCTCTAGCGGCTGGAGACAGCCACTAGAGGCTGGATTAACCCATATGTAAACATAGCAGTTTCTCTGAAACTATGTTTACAGGAGGCAGGGTTAATCCTAGATGGACCTGACACCCAGACCACTTAATTGAGCTGAAGTTGTCTGTGTGTCTATAGTGGTCCTTTAAACATGAGGCAGTTGCCTGGTGCAACTTAAGCTCATTAATGCTCAGTTACCCAGCACCCTAAGAAAGCTCTACTTGGAGGGGGGATTTGGGAATGTGAAGAACCATAGATGCACACCGAAAGCCAGGGACTTGCTTGTGGGGAGTAGCCCTGTCCAGGGAAGTATAATTTGTTGATTTATTATTGGAGAAACTTATGTTTTACAGTTATTATTGTTAGGTGTTGTCTGGAAGTTAATAAAATCAGTCACAGTTAATTACGTTATCCGGACAAAGCAGCACCAATTCTTTAAGCTATCTATTGTCCCTGTTGATGACTTCCTATTATGATTGCTCCTATAAGTGTGTGTTTTACCCTTCACCAATGTCATCTGGGGAAAGGACTATATTCACTTCAGCGCTGTCTTCTCCAAGGAGAGGGAACATTTGACGGAAGTACTCATCCGGTACTGGATCTCCGTCACAAGATGAATATATACATATTATTTATTTGTTTTTCTTAAATTCTCTGTTTATTGAAATTACAGAATCATACAAATGGTATAATTTAGAACATAAGTAGGGCTGAAACCTAGCCTGAGAGAAGATAGAGTCCACAATTTACAGTGATTATGGATCTTTCACAGAAATAAGTGACATTGCAAAATAGCCAGATGAAATTGGTCACTGATATTTTAAAGTACTGAATGATAAGACTGGGTGTTGTGCTTACGTTCATACATTCAGGCCTAAGTAAAGCGTTGATCCCACGTTGGATAGTGAACGTCCCATCTCTACAGGTTGCCTTTCTACCCAGTCTGTATTGTTCAATTGTTGTATTGGTGCAGGATCTCTGATTTTGACAACTTGCTACTTTGGCCTAAAATTAGCAATTTGCATTGAATCACTTTAGTGAATAATCCTGTAAGACTTGGTGCTTTTTCATGTACATACCTCGATATATGAATATCTGATGAATAAATTGTCAAATTGCATTCTGTACAGAACTTGGGTTATGTTTGTGTTGTGTCTCCTATATTTATAGGCTACACATTGCCGGACAATTATTCCTTGTCAGGATACCCCATCTGTGAAATTTACTTACTACAGCAAGGTTAGTGACTCACATAAAATGTCAAAGCACGTGTAAAGGGTTCAGACTTCTTACTAGCTAGATGTGAAAAACACAAGGCACTCGGAGCAACATACAGCACACACTGGACTTGGCTATACTGTGGCATCTTCCCTCTAGTGGCAGCTGGATGTCCGTGAATTCTAATCTCTTGCACTTTCTGGTGACTTTTTGTGTGTGTGTGTATATATGTGTGTGTGTGTGTGTGTGTGTGTGTGTGTGTGTGTGTGTATATATGTATGTATGTATGTATATATGTGTGTGTGTGTGTGTGTGTATATCTCTATTCATGCAAATAAAATTACAGGAAAGGCCATTGTACTGCATTAACTTTCACATAATAGTGTATATGTTGTGTGTGTGTGTGTGTGTGTGTGTGTGTGTGTGCACATGCAGAGGTAAGAAGCTGAATTGCATGATAATATTTAATAGATCAGTTTTCTAATCAACAGTGACATAGCAAAGTTACTTAAATTCTTCTGGGGGTGGTAAATTATACTAATCTGCCTCTGTTAGAAATGAATAACAATGTGTGTGGTTTATGTTTTGTGTTTATTTATGTGATGCAGATATGTTAATGCTCTCATTCTGTATCTCTCTCTAGGTCTCTGTTCCCAAAGAGTTAGTGGCTCTTATGAGCGCTCTCCGTGATGGTGAATTGCCTGATCCAGATGATTGCAACAGGAAGATCTACTATTTCAAGCAAAATGTAAGATCAATAAGTAATCCTATCTGTCACCTAGAAGCATGAACATTTATTACAACTAGATGAATGTACTATCCAACAGTGTGGAACTTTATATCTGATCTGCAGACAAGTTTCTAACTAAATGGTAGCAGAGAATCATGAGACCTCTATTCCACAAACTCCAACTGCCTGTACGTTCGTCTGGTCATGTAAAGTCTAACTCCATAGAAAGTGTGTATCCGACACACCTGGAGATTTTATGATTCATAGTTTTGTCCCATGGGTAGTCACTGTTTGGCATGTCTGAAAAGTAATTTAGTTACACTCCTGTGTTATGTATGAAAAGTAATGACTATTGCTAAAGAACAGGCATTTTATATACATTATGCAGAGCTATGTCCACATTAATAGTATATATCTAAAATGTATTTATTATTGAGGCTTAGCACATAGTGGTTTTATTTGGGAATATAATAGAAATGCTTGCCAAAAGAAGCTATTAAAATGATCCTACAGATATCTAGCCCACTTTAGCTCATTGAAGTGGTCTGGGTTCACTGTCCCTGTCCCCCTTAGTCCTGCAATGTAAATCATTGCAGCTTTAGAGAAAATGCAATGATTACCTTGCAGGACTAAGACTGCCTCTTAATCAGACCGCCAGTAGAGGCACTTCCTGGATCCAAACTGACTTTTGTTCACCTAATTGACATTCCACATCAGTAAAATCCCCATAGGAAAGCATTGAAGCAAAGCTTTCCTAAGTGGAGGGCCTAATGCACTTGACAACTTTGTATTCCTTACACAATGGAATCCATTTAAGCCTTACTAAGGGCAATCTGCATATTCAACTCCTTTAAGAGTTCTGGGTTCACTGTCCCTGCCCCCCTTAGTCCTGCAATTTAAATTGTGATTTTTGAGATCTGCAATGTTTACCTTACATTGCAGTACTAAGACTGCCTCAAGTGGCTATCTACCAGACAGCCACTAGAGGCGCTTCCGAAAGTTTACTTGACTGGGTCGCCTAACTGATGCTGGATGTCCTTGCTGTCTGCTTGACGACATCCAGTATCAGTAAAATCTCCATGAGAAAGTATTGATTCAAGGTTTTTTTTTTTTTTTGTTTTTTTTTTTAACCCTTTTCTGTTCTGCAAGTGGGGTAATGATAGAAAGGGGGGACCCGAAGGCACTTTAGGGTTAGGAATACAACTTTGTATTCCTTACACAAGAGAATGCTAGTTTTAGAAAGATAAAACCTATGAGTGCGGACTATCTGTGGTATTTTGTTTAAGTAAAGTACTGCTGATTACTAGCATCGAGCAAGTGTATTCTGTATATTATATAATTACTTTTATTAATTTTTTATTCCCTCATGTAATGTTCTTTAGGTCCCAATACCAAGCTATCTGATTGCACTTGTTGTTGGAGCTTTGGAGGGCAGGTGAGTGATGGATATTTCTTTGAAATATATAAATATATAAATCCTAAAATAAAGATATATTTTTCCAGTACATGTGTCACAGTGGATAGACCACATCTGTGATTTGCATAGAGCCATAAACTGAGATCTCTGCTTCTAAATGTACATGTTGCCCATAATTTTAAAATGTATTTTTTTTTTTAATGTCTTTTATTTGCTTTACTAATGCACTACTTTTCCAGTAAATAGCCATGTGCATACAAGCGATGCTTAGAATGTTAAATCCTTATTCTTATGTTGTGCGATATCGGGTGCTGTGATAAATGGTCCAGCTAAGTTGTAGAGGCAAGTCTTTCAGAAAATTGAAGTGCAATCGTTTTTCTGTGGTTAATGTCACGCTAGTATTAAGACCTTGTGTAGTAGTTCACAACAAGTGTGTAATGCCAATTTGTCTTTTTAAATTGATGTATTCATTCATTTGTTTGCTGCATATAGAAACCAAATAATCTCTACATCAGTTTTGTGTAACAGAAGACAGTGTAGTGTATAGAAGGCCTCTTCTGTCATGAATGTCCTGCTAGTTTAGTAACTGAAGGACTGTTTTAAAGCTTATGTTGCCTATAATTTGAACATTATATGGTGTCATAAGGTCTATGTGGACCACATTCTTAAAGAATATCACTGATCCATGATAACACAAATGACTACAAGTTGTCACCCTCTTTCCCAAGACTTGGAACACCCAAGGAGCCGGCTCACCACCATTCACTGTGCTATAGTATTACTAACTAAGATTCAGTCAAGTGAGCGTATATTAAGTGAAGCTTATTATGTGTGAAAAGCTGACCGTGTGGATGATGCTATTTTTTTTTTCTTTCTCCCGCAACAGGAAGATTGGTCCTAGAACAACCGTGTGGACTGAGAAAGAGCTTTTGGAAGCTTCTGTATATGAATTTGCTGAGGTTGGTTCTGCATATTACATCTTGTGAAAGGAAATGTAAATGTTTATCATTTGTACTCTACTGATCATCTCCCAGCCAAAAGGCTTCACTGGGACACAGGTTTCCATTATTCTGTCCCTCCAAAAATACTAAACAATATTAACTTCATATTTTGTTTAAGATATTTACTAATTGCAGTTAAAATACAATTAAGAGAAACTTAACTGAACTGGCTCTCCGCTAGCAAAGAAAAAAACCAATACAGTGTTATTGCTACATTTGGGGAGAAAAAAAACAGATCCCATATAGTACATGGGGGGGAAAGTTCAACCTATTCATTGTCCAATTCATAGATCTCTGTTCCAAAGGACGATGGAGATTTCTCAAGGTAGAGTGTAGTACAGCCGTAGACCAACATGATAATTGATCGTAGCACAATGTGCGATCATGGTCTTGATTTTTGCATAAGGTACAGTTGCCATACAGACCCTGATGAGAAGTTATGCCAGGTAACTGCTGCTGTTTTCTGCCATAACTTTTTTGACCAAGGACTGTGCTGTGCGAAGCCTGTGTGGAAGGTAAAATAACATGAGGTGTATTCGCTCTGTCGCATATCTTTATGTGAAGAGTGAGAAAGAAGCATTTGTGTGAATTCCAATAGTGCATCCTCATGCCGAGATAGCTTAAGGCTGCCATGGAGATCCGCAATATGCAGAGTATATGATCAAGTCAAGATGCTTCAATGATGGTAAGAGGTTAACCCCAGTAGTTGAGTTTAAAATTTAAGGACAAAATAGCCAAACTAGAAAAATCCTCTGAGTCTGCTATGCTTTCAGTTGGGCTGATGATTTGCTTGAATGATTTGAAAAAGCAACTTATTTATTCGTCATAATATAAAGTATGTAACTCCCACAAACTTTGCTCCTATGCAGTTGTTGTGTCCATACCATTTCGTCGACAAATGTTATCATACAGAAATCAGTAGGCCATCCCAAAAGGTGCGCCTGCTTGCAAAATCTCTTCAATAAATGGTTAACTTTTCACTTACGACACATTTTCTCTCTACACAGACAGAAAAAATGTTAAAGTACGCAGAAGGCTTGGCTGGTCCTTACGTCTGGGAACAATATGATCTGCTTGTTTTGCCTCCTTCGTTTCCCTATGGCGGAATGGAGAACCCTTGTCTTACTTTCGTTACCCCAACTGTTCTGGTAATTGGATAAATAATAACATTTTGCTGCCAACATTTTATAAATTTGGAATGTAATTGTTGAAAGTTCACAGGTATAATTGCACACTCCATTGGTTGACATATATCATTTTTTTTTAAATGTATTTATAAAATATAAATACTTCAGTGTTGTACTGATTGAAATTCAGCTCTGCCCCTACAGTCTGACAAATGTAAATGTTGCCGTTTGCCAATCAAACTAGAGGCCTTCGTGTTAAGCATCGCTAGACAGTGTTCAATCTTAGGCAAAACCTTTTGGAATATATGTTTACAGTAGTTCTGGTGCCAAGAATGGGGAATCGATGCCAAAAAAATACTCCTGGAAGAAATAAGAACTAATCGGGTTAAAAAAAAAAGTACCTATGACAAAGCTGCTTTAATCGAATTACTGACTGCGTAAGTTCTGTAACGTAAAGAATGACATTAATGCGAATTGTTATGCAAGCTTTTAATTTAATTATTTTTTCTTTCTTATTTTCCACCAATGCAGGCTGGTGATCGCTCTCTAGCAAGCGTATGTATTAATCTTTCTAAACTTCTTCTGTTAATACTTTTTAATCCACTATTATTCTAACCGTGTTTGTATATATGTATATTATAAATTACAATCTCCAAGCCGAAAAACAAAGCATAAACCTGCTACTTCTCTCTCGTAACAAAACGGCTATCACTTTATTTACAGTACTCACACACACATAATAATTCTACTCGTGTTTTTTTTAAAAATTCTGTAAAAGAACTGATAAAATATAGCTTCAAGCTAATCAAACGTGCGTGATAACAACAATCCCAATTCCTCTTTACTAGTTAGTACTGGACCTGTGTCCAGCATTGTAAAGCACATAAAAAGTGGTGTCCTTCTATCCTGCGAGATGTACAGCCTGCTTCTATTCGTCCTTTCTCTCCACTAGTTATGCTGCCATCCAGTACCTCCTACATTTTGTTCTTAATCAAAAAAAGGGCACACATGTTAAACCACTAAAACGGACCGCGTTTATTCCACTTTAAATGTGCCTGTAAGATAAATTCTTTAAGTAAAACACTACTTGCTTGGTCTCCCAGAACACTGCATTATACTTGTACATCACCCAAACTACCACATTAATCAGACTGAATTTGAGGAAGGCTATTTGCTCTGTAAGCTGCAGTGCAAATTGTGAGGCTTCAGTATACTGCCAGTTGCAGGGGTAAAAAAATAAAATAAAAGGACGTTTGGACTAGAATGTAGAAAAAGCACATTAAAATGAAGGAATTATACTTTTAGGTTATTATATATATATTTTTTTCCTTCTTCTTGCCATCATTGACTTCGTGTTAAGACCAAAGTAGTGTTAGGTCCTGCTGCATGAGCAAAGAAATCATAACTACAAAAACAAGTTAAATACCTGTTCAAAACTTATGGATGTAGGCTTTATTTAACCTTCAAATCCTAAAAATAATTTCCTTTGGATTTGACAAACAACCTCTTTAAAAATGAATCTTAATATATTTGTTGTTGTAAACCCTGTTATGCTTTTTCAGGGAACCCCTAGAATATACTAAACTTTATTTCCCCCCACTATTTTAAAGGTGATTGCCCATGAAATTTCACACAGCTGGACTGGAAACTTGGTGACAAACAGAACATGGGAACACTTTTGGTACGTCTAATACTTGGAAGAGGTCGCAATTCCAGATCTTGCAAGACAGACACTACATGCCGGGTTCAAAGTTTCCACTTGTCCCTTGCCATTGGCGAGTGAAAATTGACAATATCAGCCAATCCTATGGGAAAGCATTGGGAGGCAAATGCGCACGCATGCCAAAAATGCCTTAGTAATGGCCACTGGAGGTGTCTCTAGGCACTAATGTAAACAGTGCATTTTTTTGTGAAAGCCTGCATGGACAGACTATACTCACAAGAACAACTACAGTAATCTGTAGTTGTTCTGATGACTATAGTGTCCCTTTAAAGGACCACTATAGGCACCCAGACCACTTCAGCTCAATTAAGTGGTCTGGGTGCCAGGTCCATCTAGGATTAACCCTGCCTGCTGTAAACATAGCCTTTTCAGAGAAACTATGTTTACAAATGGGTTAATCCAGTCTCTAGTGGCTGTTTCACTGACAGCCGCTAGAGGCGCTTCTTACAATGATTTTCACAATGAGAAGACTCCAGCGTCCATAGGAAAGCATTGAGAATGCGCATTCAGCCGATGACGACCGAAGGAGGAGGAGAGTCCCCAGTGCTGAGGGAGTCTGGCGCTGGAGAAAGGTGAGTGTTTAACCCCTTCCTCCCTCTTCAGCCCGGCGGGAGTGGGACCCTGAAGGTGGGGGCACAAGTTTGTTTTCCTGGCACTATAGTGGTCCTTTAAGTTTGTTCTACTCTTGTTCTCCTTGCTTCCTGTATGGCCGTGAAAGGGTTGTCTTTTAATATCTATATTTTGTCGTTTTGTTTTACTTAATGATTTCATAAAACAAGCCTAACATTGACTGTTTGATTTTAATCCAGCTGAAATGTATGTCTGTAATCCTGTCACTTCAGAAGATTGTATAGTACTGAATGAGGAGTACAACCAACTAAGATCAAAAGCGCCAAAACGTTGGGGGCAAATCTGTGACTTTTTCACCCTCTTCTCATTCACTTTCATAGGTTCAATTGGTTCTGGTATGTATTATTTGGTGAACATTTGTATACAGGTATCAATTCTCTTCTGTATCCGGATTAGTACCAGGAATGCTTATTTTTATTTTCTGATTGGGTCGGAGCCTTCATATTGACTGTAAATTTCAGTATAAATGTAATCATAAATATACAGTCAATATGAAGGCTCCGACCCAATCAGAAAATAAAAATAAGCAAAAGTAACAGTTATCACCAAATATCTATCTGTAAATTTCAGTATAAATGTAATCATAAATATACAGATAGATATTTGGTGATAACTGTTACTTTTGTACCTGTATAATCAAGTGCTTTTTATCTTAGTTGGTTGTGCTCCTCATTCAGTACTATATTATAATGGATCATTAGCCTTTGGAAATAGGGCTTTCTGAATGAGCTCCCTTATCTTTGTATTTACATTGATTGCTTATATCTATTGCACATGGCTGGGAGCTGGGTGTGCCCACCATTTTTTGTTAATACTTCAGAAGATTGTACCATTAATTGTTTCCCTCCTAGGTTAAACGAGGGACACACGGTGTACTTGGAACGCAGGATTGATGGTCTTCTTTATGGTGAAAATTTCCGTCAGTTCCGAGGTTTGGGAGGATGGAAAGAATTGCAAAATTCAGTAAGTGTCTATGCTGCTTTCTATTTTGGGGGCAGTTGGGGGCCGACATTGATCTGTTTTGTTCTGTCTGCTTCCTTTTGCAAATATGTAGCGCAGGGGTTACACATTCCACAGGTTAATAAACCTTTCACTTGAATGACCTGCTAAAATGATTATATGCAACGAAAGGTGAATCACTGCCTTAGACTGGGTAATGTTTATAAAAATAAACTTAACTCTTTAGCGGATAACTTCCAGTTGTGTGTGTTTGTTTTGTTTTTTTCCTTATATAATTGCAAAGGTTAGTATGCTATACTATATTTTGATTTAATACGCAATGTTGATTTAAAGTGACTGTATGCCTCATAACCACTACAGCTCTGTGTAGTGGCTATTGCGACTTTTTTATTATAATAATAATAATACGGTTTTTGAAGCAGTTTGACAAAGACGGGCACCAATTTATCCTCAACCACATTGATAACGTGTAATTAACACTTCTGCATTATGAATGTTTCAACCCAAACTGGATAGCCATGCTAACCCAGAAGTGACTGTAGGTTTATGAAGTGAGTGTAGGTCATGCAGTTGTATGCCTAGGATTGTTCTGATATAGTAGTATGTCTCTAATGCTGGATGTCCTTTTCATGTTGGTAAAAGAATGCTGGAGTAGAATGTTGATCTTATATTTGGTTATAACTGTTTGACTCTTGTCACCTTACACGTTGGACTAAGACTGGACTGCTTTAATGTTTATCTAGGTTAACACATTTGGTGCCAGCAATGTTCTCACCAATCTGGTTCCCAATCTACATGAGGTGGATGTTGATGAAGCATTTTCTTCTGTTCCTTACGAGAAAGGGTTTGCTCTCCTGTTTTACCTAGAGCAGCTTCTTGGAGGGCCAGGTAGGCCTCATTTATGTACAACCCAAATGCCTTTTTATATCAGATTTGAGAGGTTTTTTTTATGGCTTTCTCCATATAGCAGATGGGTAACCCATGACTTTCCTGGTGTTGTGCTGCCATTGTAATGTCTTATATAATGAAGCAACTACTTACAGGAGATCAGTTCAGCTTGGCTTAGATTTGCCACACCATCAAAAGTGCAGCAATATTTCAATCAACATTGTAAATACTGCACCGTGTTTATAGATCACATAACATGTGCTGAATTGATTTGACAAGCTTAAACCTTTTTTTCCTTTTTGGATAGACTTGTGCACAAATCCCATTCAACAGGCGCTGAGCAAATCAAATGCCTGTTAACCACTGGACAAACAAGTAGAGCGATTAACAGGCATTTGATTCATTCTGCACAGCTGCATATTATTTGTGCATAAGTCTGCTTTTGGATACCATTGTAATGGTGGTTGAAAATGCTGGAAATGTTGTGTAATTGTACTCGAATAAGCCATATGTATGGTCAATCTGCCAAGATTCACTTACAAGGCCTCATACTACTGCTCAACAATTTTGAGAATCTGCAGAAAATGCAATTTAAAAAGGAGCTCAATGCTCTGTTGAATATTTTGGTGCCATGGGGGAAAATGAATCCATGTTCTATTTTAAAAAGTGATGCAAAAACATAAAAGGGGACATGTCGGACACTGAATCTGTCTGCTGGTTTGCATGGTGATCGGCCCATTGCTAGTACTTTTAGTCCATTATTTTTAGAACAGAAAACTTTTGGCAAATCTTTCCCAGTGTGATAGTTTTGAAAGTCACTTATTTGAAACTGAAAGCATAAAATGTTTCCCAAATGCCTGTAGGCTTTTTATATTTGGAAAAGGATGCAAATTCCAGTGTGCGACAGTAACTGTTACACAAGAGCATTCAGGTGTTTTTAGTATGCGAGCTTTGATTCCTTTATTTTATTTTTTTGGGGACAAAGATTTAAACAAAAATCTTTTTTTATTTAAGTGGACAGATATTGTATTCAGATCCTGTACCTCATTAAACTTTGCTTTTAAAATGCAACTAAGGTGGGTCCCCTAGATTCAAGGTTGGACATGACCAACATGCCCTGGCCTGACTGACCATATTCTTCTAGTTGTAACACAGGAACTGCACTCAATCTTACAACCTTAGAACCAGGGTGCAACCAGATCCAGGTCCACCACCAAATCCCAAATGTAATACTTCAAAAGAAAGGATAAGCGCACTCCAAATGTTCAATTTCAGGCAATTTATTGTCTCCCTAATGTAATAAGACCTCACTGGTCGAAACGTTGTTTTGCACATTCTGGTGACAATAAATTGCCTGAAATTGAACCTTTGGAGTGCCCTTATCCTTTCTTTTGACATGTTTTTCTAGTTAACTTTTTTGTACATTTGCCACCTTTTTCTTTTTTCCCCTCATATCAATTAGATTACAGAATAGGCTTTTGAGTATATACGGCAAAGTCCAACAGGTTATTACATACAAACTTTGGTATTGTATATCTAAGCCATTAATGTTCCTTTTTTGCTTAACTCTAAAATAATATTCCGGTGAGCTTTTTTTCCTTGTCTAGACCACCAAAATGATATTCCCATCTATCAAACAGAACTGACTGACTGTTTGTTTTGCCAGATGTGTTTTTGGGGTTCCTGAAATCGTATCTTCAGGTGTTTGCCTACAAGAGTGTGACTACAGATGAATGGAAGAAATACCTCTATTCCTATTTTAAGGACAAGGTAGGAGAGTGAGGATATTGTATTATTTTACAGCTGTTCTTCTATTATTTTCTACTAACCTTATGCTACAATACCCTACCTTCCTTGTGCAGGTTGAGATTCTTGACAAAGTTGACTGGACGGGATGGATGCATACACCTGGCATGCCACCAGTACAACCTCAGTAAGTCTTGTGTTCCAGCACTCCAGCAATGACCTGCTGAACTTTTATTTATTGAATTCAATAAATCCTGAAGAATAGTAAAATGTGCTTAGCTAAATGTTTATCTTGCTTTTTGGTGGAATAATGTTTAGGAACCTCAGACCAATACCATCACTCACTCCTTAGTCACCAACATTGTTGCCATTTACACACTTGGTGACAAAAGAGCATTGGAAATTCGCTATAACTTGTAAAAAAAAAAATATGTCAAAGCTCTACATGGGGTACTTGTTGGTAGTAGTGGTATATAATTTTTACAGTAGTGGGAGACACATGGTTATTCACTAAAGTGAGAATTCAAAGAGAAAGGGTTACTAGACCGCTTTTTAGAGGGGGGGGGGGGCAATTCTGGTCTAATATGCCTTATTGGGCAGTATGGAAGAAGTTCCCTCCTCCCCTACCCTGTCAATTTGCAGAAAACCTCCAAGAAAAAGTTTTAATCACGTGGAAGCCAGCACCAGGTGAAGCTACCGGTGCTAATCTTCTACTCCCCCTCTGACATCACTGGGGATGAACGCCATCCAATCACAGGCTTCTTATAGAGAAGCCTGTGATTGGATAATTTCGCCGGCTCAAAGCTCATGCACGCAGCCGGAGCCAACTAGGGAAGGTTTATTTAAAGAAACAGAGATAGGCGGAAGGAAATGCAGAGTATATGGGATGGAAAAAGTAGCTTCCTCTTGCAGGCGCTCTGCCTACAAGGGGGAAAGATTTTCACATCTGGCGGCAGCATGCCGTGTACGCAGAGACTTATTTTATGTACAGAATTGACATTGGCAGCCTGTTCTGTGTTGCCAATGTCTCGTGCTGGGGGAGCGACTAACCCCCAGCACACAATTTCAAATATCTTCGTATGTGCACTGTTTCAAGCTGAAACACTGCACATTCTTTCTCGTACCACCCTCACCATGACCTTTTTAAATCACTGAATTGGTCATGGTAATTGGAATATCCCTTTAAATTCATCCTGAATTCTCACTTTAGTGTATAACCCTGACAGTCTCTGAAATTTGTCTTGAGAATTGAAACTTGTCTGAAAAATCTTACCAGTCATTTTGGTAGATGTTGGCTATAAAATTATTAAATGAAAAATGTCAAAATGCTCTTGGTTAAATGGCCTGAGGTTTCTATTTTTCACAAATGTATAATTTTGTGTACTGGTTTTGGATTCTGCTATTGACATCATTGTTAGTCTCGGCTACCTAAAATACATTTATGTAGTGTAACACCAGAGTATCCTTGAATTTATATAACAGAGGTGACTATCATGTTGTCAAAGATTGACACATTGGCCCAACTGTTTATATCTTTTTTGAGTTTATTTAAAGAACAGGAGTACTATTAAATATTAAATCGTAAACATCGTGCCAAAATAGACAAAATGGAACAATTCTCTGGAGTTTTCATTTTCCAGCCAAATGTTCTATACTGCTCAATCTAAAACGTTCCTTGTGCCTCAAATGAAACACGTGACATAAAAACTAGAATGTTAAGCAAGCTCTGTAACCTGCCCAGTATGAAATAACTGCTATAGCAGGACAGGAAAAAAATATACGAACCCCAATATTTTGTTATACCCATTAACTCTCTGGAGACTATTGCCACAGCTTTGCAGGAAGTCTTAGAAGGAAACTATTCTATGAAAAGGGGTTACATTTTGACGATCATCCATTAATGTGCAACGTGTTGGGAGTTGGTCATTTTTTTATCAGGAACATATAATTTTTTTTTTTTAATATATTTAATTTTTGTTTTGCTTTTGTTCTTTTAGGTACGACATGACCTTGGCTAATGCTTGTATTGCTCTTAGCAATAAATGGGTTGAGGTAAGGCGAATACAGTATACACAGCTGTGAAGTCTACACAGAGAAAGTATAACTAACCTGGTTCTCCCAATGGTATTCTAGGCTAAGGAAAGTGATCTGAGCTCCTTCAGTGCTGAAGATTTAAAAGATTTGTCCACATTTCAGAAAACTGAGTTTTTAACGCTTTTGCTGCTCAAGGTAAGAGAATAATCTTTTACATCATAATATAGCTCTTTCAGTTGGCGTTCAAAGATAGCTCAGGCTGACCGCTCGGTGTTGAGAGGCATCTTACACTATGAACAGTTTCAAAACCACTCAAAGATTTTTCAGCTATTTTTCTCATTTCCTCTTCATAGGAGCCACTCCCAGTCGCTCATGTCAAACGCATGCAAGAGGTGTACAACTTCAATGATGTTAAAAACTCAGAAATTCGATTCAGGTATGTGATCCTTCCATTTTACTAAAACACGGATCAAACTTTCAAGATTTACTGAAAGCTGAAAAGAACATTCGTGATAGGTCAAAACCAGTAGTTGTTACATGCGTGTCATTTATGCAGGTGGCTTCGTCTCTGCATTCGGGCAAAATGGGAAGAAGCTATTCCCTTGGCGCTCAAAATGGCAACAGATCAAGGAAGGATGAAATTTACTCGTCCCCTCTATCGGTAAGCTATACAGAGTGAAAAGTTGGTGTAAAACATCACATTCTTGGTTTTACACTAGACAAAGTTGAATAGTTATCACTTAGAAGCTCACTAGTTCTTTCCACTTCCAAATTTGCAAACCATTTTAATGCATTTCTTTTTAACCCCTTCTTTTCAGTGATTTGTACAACTTTGACAAGTCTTGTGATTTAGCAGTCAGCACCTTTAAGAAGAACAGATCGTCTATGCATCCAGTGACTGAAATGCTTGTGGCAAAGGACCTTCACGTGGATAGTTAATGTCACTTTAGCAATTAAGGGTTTTCTCACCATCCTCAATCTCTTGAATTTTTATGCGATCAGAGCTTTGTATGGTGCACAAATTGGGTACCTTTTTATATGCTTGCAATTTTTATCATCATCAAAAAATAAATAGAAAAAAAAAAGCATGATTGGTTTGATTACATTTTCTTACAGTATAGCCAATAGCTTCCAGGTGTAGAAATGTGGGAAGGTTCTCCAAAATTGTTTTTAAATTGCACTGGTTACGTCCCCCTTTCTTTCCCTTCCTTCCTTTCTTTCCCTCCTTCCTTTCTTTCCCTTCCTTCCTTTCTTTCCCTTCCTTCCTTTCTTTCCCTTCCTTCCTTTCTTTCCCTTCCTTTCTTTCCCTCCCTTCCTTTCTTTCCCTTCCTTTCTTTCCCTTCCTTTCTTTCTTTCCCTTCCTTCCTTTCTTTCCCTTCCTTTCCCTCCCTCTCTTTCTTTCCCTTCCTCCCTCCCTCCCTTGCTCCCTCCCTTTCTTTCCCTTCCTCCCTCCCTCCCTTTCTTTCCCTCCCTCCTCCCTCCCTCCCTTTCTTTCCCTTCCCCTTCCCTCCCTCCCTTTCCCTTCCTCCCTCCCTCCCTCCCTTTCTTTTCCTCCCTTTCCCTTTCCCTTTCCCTTTCCCATAGACCGAGACCCTTGTGTGCCTGATGATGATCGGAGTAAACCTTGTGGAAATGAACAATCAGGGCCTGGTGCAGGGTAAACACACGCACCAGGGTTTGTGTGGCCACATATCAGGGCCCTGATGCAGCTTCTGCAGATCCCAGGAACTAGGAGAATATATGCAGACCTCTCTGATCTGGATAGGGATGCTCTGCAGCAGGAATGTATCTAGTACTAGAAACAAGGTAAGACTAGAGCAGGCACCAAACAAGAACACAAGACTAGTAGAGCCCAGAACCAGAGAAGGATAGAAAGCAGAACCCAGAACATGTACACAAGACATGAGGGATACATGAACAGGACAGGACTGTACATGAACTGGTAATGCTAAACAAAAATAAAACAAGACCAGATATGCAAGGCAAAACAGGCATAACTAAGTACTATATGTCAAACATTGGAGATTTAGACCTATATGAATGGCCAAGATGTATGAAGCCCACCACTGTGCCAAAGTACTCCAATTACGGTGGGTTCCTAGACCTCCTACATATGCATGACTAAATAAACAAATATAAAACACACACAGCACTTACCTGCAAGAAAGGGGCAGAGGACTTGGAGCAACTGCCTGCAGGAACCACCTGAAACAAAAGGATTAATGAGAAAGGAACTGGTGTGGCAACAAAAAACAAATCTTTAAAGGAATCCAAGAGACTGGGAATTCCAGGAATGGAATACAGGAATGAACCCAGAAAACCCAGCATAAAGAAAACCAGACATAGAATAGAAAACCAGAAAAAAAACAAGAATTGTAAAACGAGTACTGGTTACCAGAAGCCATAGCCAGAAATGATCCGCAGCAGGAACATGACGTGACTCTTTCCCTTCTCTCCTTTCTGTGTTGAGGGAAAAAACTTTAATTGCAAGATAATTCCTGCTCTCATAAGAAAAAATGGAAGTTGCTTGATGAGGAGGACCTCTCCAAAACACGTTAGTGTAATAATCGAATAACCATAAGGTTCAACGAAGAGTTTTATTGATCGTGCAAAGCAACCATGATCACCGTGCTAGTAGCAAGATGGCTGACAGCGTTGTCACCCATAACATTTTCCTACTTGTTTAAATTATTCTTGTCTAACTCCGTAGACTTGAATTGCTATTGAATATCACATCTGATAGCCCCCTGACTTTTCATTGACACAAAAGGTTCAATCAACTGACAGCTTGCATTGGTTATTCCACTGGTACAAGCTTTAGACCAAATATATGGATTTCTATGTGTAGCTCTCATATCTTTCCACCTGTATGTATTTATTCCATATCTATAGCCTTAATGGTACATGATAGGCCTATTAAGGGTACCTGCTTTGGGAAAATGATTGGTGGTAAACAACAACAAAACGTGCAATTGCTCAACGTGCCCCAGGTAACAAAAGGCAGCCCTGAAAAGTTAGTTTTTTCAATTCACATTACATCAATTCGTCACAACATTAAAAACACTGACGAGTGAAGGAACATTGATATCGTTACAATGGCAAGGGATGGCATATGTTAGGCAGCAAGTGAACATTATTTTTTTTATTTTACGTGTGTGAGCTCAGGAAAACTGGATAAGTGAAATGATCTGAGAGAGTTTGACCAGGACCAACTAGTAATGGCTAGAACACTGGGACTGAAGGTTCAAAATAGCAAGTCTTGTGGGGGGTGTTCCTGGTATGCTGTGGTTAATACCTACCAAAAGTGGCTAGCCCGTCTGGTCCAATCGCACAGAAGAGCTACTGTAGCTCAAATTGCTGAAAAACGTAATGCTGGCCATGATAAAATCTTGTCAGAGCAAACCATGTATCTGGGTACACTGTGGATGTCAATGACAATGATGCTTCCTGTCCACCACCGAAAGAGTTTTCAATGGGGATACGAGCGTCAGAACTGGACCGTGGAGTAACGGAAGAAGGTTGTCTGGTCTAATGAATCATGTTTTCTTTTAGATCAGGTGTATAGCTCTGTGTGTGCGTGTGTTGCTTACATAAGGAAGAAATGGCAGCAGGATGCACTATAGGAAGAAAGCAGTCTAGTTGAGTTTTCTGCTCTGGTCAAAGTTCTTGAAAACGTTGGGTCCTGTCATTCATGTGGATGTTACTTTGACATGTAGCGCCTACCTAGAGATTGTTGAAGACGACGTACACCCCTTCATGGCAATGTTGTTCCTTGATGACAGTAGCCTCTTTCAGAAGGATTATATACCCTGCCACACTGCAAAAAAAAAAAATCAGCAATGGTTTGAGGAACATGGCAAAGAGTTTAAGGTGGAGCCTTGGCCTCCACATTTCCCAGATCTCAGTCTGATTGAGCATCTGTGGGATTTGCTGGAACATCAAATCCAATCTGTGGAGGCCCCACCTCTTAACTTGCAAGACTTAAAGGACCACTCTAGGCACGCAGACCACTTCATCTTAATGAAGTGGTCTGGGTGCCAGGTCCTTCTAGGGTTAACCCATTTTTTAATAAACATAGCAGTTTCAGAGAAACTGCTATGTTTATGAATGGGTTAAGCCTTCCCCTATTTCCTCTAGTGGCTGTCTCATTGACAGCCACTAGAGGCGCTTGCGTGTTTCTCACTGTGATTTTCACAGTGAGAGCACGCCAGCGTCCATAGGAAAGCATTGTAAATGCTTTCCTATGAGACCGGCTGAATGCGCGCGCAGCTCTTGCCGCGCGTGCGCATTCAGCCGGCGGGGCGTAACGGAGGCGGAGAGGAGGAGGAGAGCTCTCCGCCCAGCGCTGGAAAAAGGTAAGTTTTTACCCCTTTCCCCTTCCAGAGCCGGGCGGGAGGGGGTCCCTGAGGGTGGGGGCACCCTCAGGGCACTATAGTGCCAGGAAAACGAGTATGTTTTCCTGGCACTATAGTGGTCCTTTAAAGGGTTTGCTGCTCATTCCTTGGTACTAGATACAACAGGACATGTTCAGAGGTCTTGTGGCATCCACGCCTCAATGCATCAGAAAGGTTTGAGCAGAACAAGGGGGACGTACATAATAGTAGGTGGTTTTGATGTGGCTTGTCAGTGTATATATCTGCATAAATGTACTTACATGAACGTCAGCAAAAATAAAAGGCATTCTGTCCTGCAATGTAAAACATTTCAGTGATTGAATATGGAAACGTCGCATTTTAGATATTTGTATGCCTTTTAAGGTAAATAAAATAAGACACAGCAATTGCTGTTTTGTGGGGAATGGCTAACTGACTGTCGAAGGCATTTTTATTTTTTTTTTGTAAATCTTTCTTTTTGTTGTGCGCAGGTTAACAATACACGCTTGTCTAGCCACGACAGCTTTCACAAGCTTAATTATCAGAAACAATGTTGGACATAGTATGGCATTTCAAATAACAGCGCACCTTTTTTCAGTTACTAGTAGAAACAGTAATTTGAACACAAGATAGAGAAAACACTTTGCTCAATGAGATTTATATGATGGTTCTGCACATTTTCAATAGGTAGTTATGTCAAGCTAGGTACACTTCTCGAGGTCACATTAGTATATAGTACATTATGGTAGTGTTACAGGCCATTCTGGTTTATCTAGCTATCAGATACAAAGCTTAAAACAGTTGCTTCAGTTGGTAAAAGTGATATAATTGTTTTAACCATTAAAGCTACATACTGTGATAGTCCGCTAATCCTTTATGGGGTGTGTGAAAGAAAACTAATACGAGTAGTGCCGGCAGAAGCGTCCTTTGCAAAATTGGGTTATCAACAGGATTTACACATGGCTGCATTTAAGCCACTGGCTAGTAGTCCAGTCCATGTCAGCCAATGCCTAATCTTGGCAGGGTGGCTGTGGGATCCTTCAGGCCACGGAAGGTGACAGAGCGCTGCGCGCAGATCGGCGCCTTCTTCCGGCCCCAGGCCTTTGTGGAGGGCTGCATCAGTGAACCACAGGCTCGGTGGCTTCGTGAGTCCGAGGCTTTCCTGTATCGGGTGCAGCGAGAGACTCAGGTGGACATCCGCCGCCGCGGGTGGTCTTCCTGCGAGGTGGGTGATGCTTTGGAGGCTTTCTCCTTTGGGCCCTCAGCCTGGGTAGGTAAGTAGGAGCGATGGGATTAGTAGTTGTGCCCGGGAGCAGTCGTTCCTTCTCCAGCCCAGCTCTTGTCTTCTCCCTCTCCATGTGGACTGGTTTCAGGGCCATGCGTTTTTCCAGTGATGCCTAGAAGCACTGGAAGATTTTTTCAATTCGGGTAAATATGCACTCCACCGCAGTGTTGTTGTCTCCGCCATGTGGTGCGGATGTAGGGGGCGATGTAGGCCCCTCCGCCATCTTGTTAGGGACTTCACTTGAGGTGGAGGAGCTGCGTTGAGCCACTGGAGGCCATGGAGGTGTTCGTGTGAGGCCATCGGGGACCGGGATAACCCCCACCGGTCCAGGGGGGGGGGTGACAGGGCCAGTGAGACAATCCATCCGGGTAGCTGCATCAGCCACTCTGTAAGTGAGTGAGGTGGCAGCCATCCGCCTCACCCCTCGCTTCAGTAGGCCGCAAACTCCAAGCATACAATCTCCCCGCTGGGGTGCACA